TATTGATTTAAAGCAAACATATGACCATTACATTGTCATTGTTATCTGCAGCGGGCTCTACCTGTGGATACCTGTCTTCCCACTTAGCCAAAATTCTGAAATTGTTACAGGTGACTGGTTTTGGCTAGGTGGGAATGGTGTACAGGTAAGGGGAAGGAGAGAACAAAAGAAATTAATTACAGGTGACCTATAGTCTGTTTTATAGATTATCACAGAAAAAGTTTTAAAATATGAAAATTCTAATAATGTGATGAATGGTTATTAAAATAAATATTTTAAATCAATTTGTGTCATTTTTTAAAATCCTTTATTTATTTTATTATCGTTAGTGTTGATTTAATTTTTTTTTTTAATTTGACAAATGTTAAATGATGGTTATCATTTAATTTTCTTATTTGTCTTCCTTTTTAAAAAAGATTATTTAATTTCATTCATTTTCATACTTTTAATGATTTGATAATATTTTAACTTATTAAATATGTTTTAGTACCAGTTCTATTAAACTATGCATCACAAATATTTGAAAATACATGTAAAGTAAAAGTAAGGTACTGATAATAATGCTTTTGAAATCTTTAATCTCTTTCCCCTAATCTAAAATAAATAAATAAATAAAAATTAATTAATTTATTTATTTATTTATTAAAAAATTTATTGATTATAGATGTGCCTCTGATGCTTTGGGGGAATGTTTCCTTTTCTGATGCATAAAGATTATTGACAAGCTTTTCTAAATGAATATGGATATCTTTCTAAAAATCCTAGTTTTTAAGAAGAAGCATATTTTGTAAATTAAGAATTTAAGTTTTTAACACCACTAATGTTTTCCAAGTAGACTATATAAATCAAATTATATCCTGACAATTTTCAAAATTGTTGCATTAACAAAAGATTTTCGAAGTTTTTTCTAATCCTTTTGACTTTTTTGTCAATAAGATATGTCAAATTCTTATCAGACATAAAAATGTATCATAAAAGACTAGATCTAATACATGTGTGGAGAAATTACTTATAAATGCATATACATGTAAATGTTCAGTCACAGCCAATTTCTGTCTTTATATCATGCACTTTTGATAGTTCTTATTACTAGAATTTCTGCAAAAATACATTAAATTCTTTTTATTTTTTTTCTTTTCATCTCTTACTTGTACTTGTAAAGTTATAATCCAAATACATTGTCCAAAAATTATTTATCTCTATGTTAATGAATTAATACTTCACACTCCCCATAGTTTTATTGCCTATACACACCGACAGATTTCACACCTTTAATCGTCCTAATTTACACAAAGCAAATGCTGCAGAAAAACAAACACAAGCCCAATAAAAGGGATATTTAAAAAAAAAAGCATTGCTCTAAACGGCATTGCTAAAAGCCCACTAAACAAGGAGTAGCAATTCCTGCCCTAGAGATACATGTATATTGTATATATATTGTACAAAAAAAAAACAAACAAACAAAAACACAGTAGCTAGGGTACATCCTTCTTTCTTCATATGATGTAAACAAACTCTCTTTAATTTTATGTGTTTAAGTCAAGATTAAAACATTTTGCACCACCCGGACCTTTAAACTAAGGCGGACCTTTTCTTATACGGGCCGGACCTTTTCTCATAAAAGACGGACCTTATATGTTATCGTATTAGGTCCCTTCGGACCTTTAAACAAGGCGAACCAAATATTATGCGACACCGGTCACACCCGCCGAGAGCCCAATGTACTATAGTATTGATCAGTTAGACGGAATATTCCGCAGTCAAATTCAGTATAAAACAAAGGCCTAACAATTGGTGTGAAACAATCAGACAAAATACGACCCAATGATAGGTTATATTTGCTCACAAGGTCAGTATAACGATCAAAAATTTACGAAATGCTGACTTTAAACGAGGTTGTTGAAATTCATGAAACATCAACTCAGGATTCAATAATTTCATAACTTTGGAAGAAGCACTCTTTCTCTTCATAACAATGCACTAAGTTTCTCTGCTGAATACTCAAGAAGAGAAAAGATTTTTAAAGAAGTATAATGCATTTTTGCTATGGCCAAAAGAGCTCCGCTCTAACATTCAGAACCCTTGACCCAGGGGCAATGAATTTCACAGGTCTGGAAGATGTACAAGCACTCTTGCTCATCGTATTTATACACTTAGTTTGCTTAAACCCATGAGCAGAAAGGATTTTCAAAGAACTAATGAATTTTCACTATATTGTCAATGGAGCCCCGCCCTTACTCCATAAAGCCTGACCCAGAGGCAATGAATTTCACAATTTTAGACGAGGCACTAGTACTCTTGCTCATCATATCAATAGATTTTATTTAAAAAAAAACAGTAGCAGAGAAGAAGACTTTCAAAGAATGAAATGATATTTTTTTTTCTATATGATAAAAGGAACAAGCCCAAGCTCAAGAACCCTAGTGGCCATAATTTTGTAGAAGTACTCTTGCTCAGCATATCAATGCACTCAGTTTGTCCCTGCTAAATAACTAGGAGCAGAGAAGACGAATGATTTTCGTAGAATTGATTTTCACTATGTGACTACTCCAGCCCCGCCGTAATATCAGAATACCTCAACCGGGGAAATTGCATTTCACAATTTTTAAAAAGGCATTCTTGATCAATATAATCATGCTTTTAGTCTAAATATCCAGGAGCTATGAAGTACATTTTCAAAGAATAAATGCATTTTTTTCTATATGATCAATAGAGCTCCGCCCTAACTCCAGAATAATCCCTCATCAGAACTTTGCCTAAGTTTGTATTCTAAATACCGAAGAGCATTTTCACTATATGCCCAAATCACCCCCGCCTTAATACCAGAAACCCTATTGTGAATTTTACAATTATGGAAAAGGCACTCATCAAATCTATGCACATGGTTTGTCTGCTAAATGTACAGGGGGTGAGAAAATTTTTAATGTAAACATGGATGTTCACTTTATGATTTATATATCCCCACCATAACACCTGACTCAGGGGTCATGGATTTCTTAATTTTTAGTCAGGGCTCACTGCTGATAACAATCATGCCAATAGCTTAACACATGACAAGAGGTCACCTTAAAATATACCAAAATGGAAGTTCCACACATTTAGAATACTACCCATACATCTTTACCGGTACCTGGAATTGTCTTCTTTTTTCATCAGAATTTCTCATTATTGTAAAACTGATTTCCAAATCAGGCTTATTGGCTATATAAACAGATCGAAATCAGGCTTATTGGCTATATAAACAGATTAAGTCTCTGTGTTACATTAAACTGACTTAGGGTATTGCACTTCCACATGTAGAATCACTAATTCCAGTTAATGATGTAATGATGTGAAGTGATAATTAATTACATTCTATAACTTTTGATTGTGAATAGATCCCCACAAATTAAAATCGATCTGTGATGTCATAGAACTGATAATTTAAAAATTACTCGTTACTATAACAATGTAACTTGGTAGGCAGATCCCCACAAGATTTTTCTCCTTCTAGCATCAACAAAGACTTGCAGCTTCCCGGAAAGGTAAGATGAAACAACATATCTGCCATTATCTTTTAGAAAGGAAAAATAACAAATCTTGCAAAATACTATAAATTATAAGACGAACCACATCCCGTGATAAAAGTCGAGACATACCTGGTATTATCCAAAAAAGGTGGGATGTGATACACAACTAACATCATTTATTAAGGTAGGGGGTATCATCTGTATCTAGCGAGTTAGCATCTAGATAAGGTAGGACGTGACACATACAGGACATCATCTAATAAAGGTAAGTTATTTACCCCAAATCATCTAATTAAGGTAAGACGTATTTTGTAAAAATTATTTTAAAGTTTGAAAAAAAGGATATCGACTCTCGATAATGCCCGTTTCTTTTCGTTATTCGTACATCTGAAGGTATCTGGAAATACTGTAAATCACTTTTTATTAGCCAAAACTTTATTTTCACGGACTTCAAGAGACTGTCTGATTGCGAAAATTTACTCTCGCATATAATTCTACTATTGAAGGATACATTAAGCAATAATTAGAATTCGTGAAAATTTTGTTCCGCTTATAAATGCCAAAACAAAAATATCGCGAAAATAAGGTGTCGTGAAAATTTATTGATCTACGGTAGTTTCTTTGATTGTGTTTAGATGGGAAAATTAACTCACTTCAAACTGTTCTTAAATTTCTTTTTTTTTCCGGAATCTGTTCAGATTGATATCCATTATTGCCGTAAATGAACGTATTTCGGAATTATGAAATTAAGTTGACAAAATGCATGAATGTTTTGGTTGTTATAAATTAATGTAACAGACTTAATTAATGTAACTGAGAATAAATTAATGTAACAGAGAATAAGTTAATAGAAAATTCATATTTCGAGATGAATGGAAAAGAAAAAATTCATTTGGCAATCGTTCTAATAATTTGACCGTAGAAGTATGAAACGACAAATTGACATATATTCAAATATTTGAACTATCTTCAAATGAGTTGAAAATTAGGTGCAACTGAATTAAAGATAGATCTAAATGAATTAAAGATAGGTGTAAATAGTTAAACCTATCTTATAAAAATTGAACCTATGTTGAAATGTATTAATTCCATTACAGATAGGTTCAATTTTATCATACTTCTTATCTATAAATCATTTGAAGATAGGTACAATTGATTTAAAGACAGGTACAATTCAATTAAAGATAGTTACAATTAATACATCTCCACTAAGGATTTGAAGATAGGTATAAATCAATTATATCTAGGTTCAATTTAATTGGACCTGTCTTTAAATCAATTATTCCTATCTTTATTCTCAGTGTTTTTACCTACCATCAATTCAATTTTACCTATCTTCAAAACAACTGTACCTATTTCCAAATGAATTAAAGATAGGTAATACTGAATTAAACCTATCTTTTTTTTGTCGTGTCATGCATCTATAAAATGATGTTTTATTTATGAATGACGAGTCATGCATCTATAAAATGATTTTTATCTTTAGTGATCATGGTGTTCTTCAAGAGGAAATCCCAGATCCAACCTTCGTCAAAGACGAATCTATCCCTGAGTAGCTCAATGGGTTCAATGACACAGTCTCAACTCAACACAATAATCAGCGACATGCTGAGTCTGCCTCAAGCTGGAAACAGTTGCGAGGTCATGTGCAGAGGTATGTCGGTAAAGTCGTGTTTAAAAATTCAAAAGGTCCGGCAGAAATTTATTCAGAAAGGAATATATGACCTTCAACCATCGTAAAGAAAATTTTGGGATTCGCGTCTTTAAAAATCAATGCGTATAAAAATAGATTTACAGGTCAATTTTTACGTTTGTCAATATTCTGTTTATCATAAAAATGTAATGAGTTACAAGTAATATTCTTTTTTATTCTTGGCAAATATTAATTTTACATTTCTTCCATGATTTCGACAGGTAATGAATGGATTTTTGCTTTGATGAAGTTGCCGGTGCATTTATATTTGCTGAATTAGATCAAAATTATCAGTGATTCCGTACATTTTATCAAACTCAAATTAAAAAAAGTAGCAGAAGAGTAATTATCTTTCAATAATTTTTTTGATAGTTGATAGAAATGTTTATACTTTGATCCACAGACAACCCAATCACGAATGCCGGGAAGCGGAAGCAGTTATTAAAGATGCTGATTATTGTCCTTCTGCCAATGGGAATCCTGGTGGGCATGATGGGAAATGTTTTCATTTCAGTTGTCAAGAACTACTACGAGGCTACCGGCATACGGACGTCTCTCTTCTTTTCGTAAGGCTGCCTGAAATTTAATATTTTACAATAAAAAGGATTTCAATTGCTTATAATTAGACATTAAAAAGCTAGGTTCACTTTATACATATAAGGCTCTGAAGATATAACAATTATTGACCAACAACCTATGGCCCATTTCAAACAAAATATAAAGTTAAGACTTTGTACTTTCATTTTCTATAATTTTTTTCCTGAGAGTCCAGTTATTGGAAAACATGCTTCGTTAAATTGCAATGATTTTAAATTTTGCAGAAAAAAGATGTATTTTAGAACATGTATCTTCAGAAAAGAATTAAAATATGAGCAGACCCCTCGATCAAAAATAGAGAAAAAGTTTAATAATCTTCAGAAGCAATTCTGTCATTATATAATTGCATATTTTTACTAAGGGGTTTATTATTGTAAAGCAGTTTAAACTTTTGGCCATTTTTGAAGGAATATTTAGGATATTTAAATAAAGACACAATTCATGACGTCATAATGCATTGACTAGTGCGAAGACTTTGCAGTCACCAAGGGTCCAAGTGCGTCGTCAACTAAAAAAGCAGTTTTTAATTTTTAGAAACTCACAGGGCCAGAAAGGCCCTAAGTGAAGCTTTCTCTTTCGACGGATTTTTCCGTTATTTCCCGATCATGACAAGGAGCACACGGCAGGGGATGCTCACTCCTCCATGGCACCTGATCCCACCTCTAATGTTTTGGAGGTCCGTGTTATCCCATATATTTCTTTAAAAGATTTATTAATAATGAAAGTTCCTTATTATTAATTTTCTATTAGAAATGCCGAAATTAGAAAACACCGGTTGCTCTCCTTTTCGTTAAAGCATCAAGATTTAGACGAAAATATTATGGTCTTGTGGCGTATACGTATTAAGTTGACTGTGTTTCCTTACCATGCGTGGATCTAGAGAGAGGTCGAGGAATATAAATTTTATTACGAAAATTAATAATGTTGATTTCAGTTTGCATGCATAAATTGTATTTTTTTTTAATCAAAAAAGCTTGCAGAAAAGGGCTATGTTAGTAAACTATTTTAAAATCATGCTTATTTTCAAATAAATCAACTATGAGTATGATATATTTGGTTCATAGCTTTAAATAGGGTAGAAATCAGATTGAAAAACTAAAAGACAACGTAATTGTTTTAAAGACCTTGCTGCCAAAACATGATTGATTGAGAATTTATGTTTTATTTATTACTTAAATTATTATGTTAATAAACAGTAAGCCATTGATAATATGTTGATACCCCCCACCCCCCTTTACAAACGACCTTTACAACTTCCTTTTTCATCCCTTGGGATGAGCGTTCTTAGAAATACAGGTAACACACAGTGATCTCAATAAATTAAATACCAATATCTATTGTGTTTCAGTGTGGAACTCGGTCAAATGATGCGCTATCTGCAGCGGGAACGTGACATGAGCGCCCTCTATGTTGGAGCCATTGGTAAGGACACGAAGGATTACTTGTTGCGGAGGTATCCGGACACAGACGCAGCACTGGCTAATATGTCTCAATGGCCGGTCAGACTTGCCAATATACGAACAGAATTTCAATCCAAAGACAAGTTCTTGGTCTACCTCAATCGGCATCGATACCAGCTAGATCAACAAAACCGAACTTCAAAGCAGGAAATGGAGTTTTATACAAGTGTGATAGAGATTTTTATGTCATGGCTGTATGAGATTGTGTCGGAATCCCGAACCGGAGCAGTATGGAAGACGCTGGTGGCATATCAAGAGATCATCGTTGCTAGTGAATACATCGGACGTGAGAGAGGTATGGGTATCACTTACTTTGCTAGAGGGGGATTTGAAACCAAAGAAGATTATCTTCTTTTTCTAGAGGCTCAAATAAATTCAAATATTACCTTCCAATCCTGCAAACGCTACTCAGAATTGGCATATCAGATATATGAGGACCAACTCAAGACTAAAGCTACATTGTTGGCCCCTATCACTAACATGAGGCTTATGATAAGGTCTAACAAGAGTGCCAAGAGAAACCCCTCCCTGGAGACTGCAAACTATTGGTTTGAAAACATGACTTATTATCAGGAGACGGTCAGAGAAACTCAGAAAAAACTGGCGGAGAAAATTGATTCTCAACTGTCACTTCGAGAGGAAGAGGATCTGGAGGTCATCATTTCAATCAGTTGCATCTTTGGCGTTGTCATGGTTATCTGTCCTTTGGTTATCCTAGGAGTATTTAAACTAACTGTGCAGATTCAAAGCTACTCACTTTCAATTGCAAATAGGTACAAATTTATTTTCTGTTATTTAACGATATGAGCATATCAGTAGAAAAAATGATGACTTAATCAGTGGCTTTTATGCATTACAGAACGAAAGCATTGAATAAGGAGAAGAAGAGAACGGACACGCTGCTTTATCAAATGTTACCAAAGTCTGTGGCAGAACGTCTAAAGAATAATGAAATAATAGAGGCTGAACACTATTCCGAAGCCACAATCTTTTTTAGCGACATAGTTGGTTTCACCAAAATAGCTGCATCTAGCTCCCCGTACCAGGTTCTCTCTCTCTCTTTCTCTCTCTCTCCAGATATAGTATAATATTTACTAACATAAATCATTTACAATTGTAAAGGTTGTGGACATGCTGAATAGCCTGTACATGTGTTTTGACCAAAGGATTGAGCTCTATGACGTATACAAGGTGGAAACAATAGGTGACGCCTACATGGTGGTATCCGGTAAGATTTATTCGTCACAGAAATTTTTATTTTGCTTTGTATTAATATTTCTATCAATAAACTAATAAACACATTAAAAATATATCGTTCATCGGTTCAAACTAATATAAATGTTTCATAATAACATATAAATAAGCAAAAATAATTAGGCGTGCCTCGAAAAAACGGTCAGCGCCATGCTGCAGAGATTGGAATAATGGCTCTTGATTTGGTACGAACTGTGAAAGACCTTGAAATACCCCATGTACCTGGCATGACATTCAGCTTAAGAACCGGTTGTCATACAGGTAATATGATGACATTAAGTGATTATTTTATGACATTAAGCGATTACTTTAAGTTTATGCAGATTTGAATTCTTTCTTGACTTTTTCTCATGTTACAAAGATGAAAAAGATGAAATCCTGAAGATTACAAACAGTGATAGATCTCAAAATTTGTTTTCTAATTCGATTTCTATCATTAATTTCTTATCCTTTGTAACTTGCTTTAAATATCTTTCTACGAAAGATGAACAAATAAAGCATGAACAAAAATATATTTACAGTCTATTAAAATCATTTTGGATAAAGTTTCTTAATATACATGTATATCATCTTTGCATACTACAATTAGGTCCTGTCGTTGCCGGTGTAGTGGGGACAAAAATGCCGAGATATTGTTTGTTCGGCGATACCGTCAACACAGCATCTAAGATGGAATCTTTGGGAATGGGTACTTTATTTTATTCATGGTACCTTAGATTAGCTAAGTAACTTAAAGCGTATTTAATTTCACGCAAGATTTTTAAATAAAAAAAACTTCAATATGACTGTTTGTCAAATCTTTCATATTTTGTACTTCGACGAATTACTAGATACTGTGTGTCAAGAATCGAGTATTATGTATTTACATATATGGTGGCAATTTCTGTCCCCTACATGCAAGATAAATTATGTTAACATGCAAGAAAAGTATGTCAACATGCAAGATAATTATGTCAACATACAACATAGTAATGTTGACATGCAAGTTACCAATCTTTTTTTGAGAATCTTATTTTATTGTTGGTAAAATTACTTAATAACACCAGTATACGACATCATAAAAGCAAGCTGAAAAAGAATTATGTTGACATGCGACTTATTTACATTTACATGCAAGATAATTATGTCAACATGCAAGATATTTGAGTCAACATGCGACTTATTTGTAAACATGCAACATAATTATGTAGACATGCAACATAATTATGTAGACATGCGACTTATTTATGTCAACATGCAAGATATTTATGTTAATATGCGACTTATTTATGTTAACATGCGACTTATTTATGTCAACATGCAACTTATTTATGTCATCATGCGATTTATTTATGTCAACATGCGAGTTATATTTTAACATGCAAGGTATTTATGTCAACATGCAAGATAATAAGTTGCATGTTGACATGCATATCTCACATGTTGACATACTTGTTAACATAATTATCTTACATATTGACATAAATCAGTTGCATGTCTACATAATTATCTAGCATGTTAACATAAATAAGTTGCATGTCAACATTTTTCCTGTTGTGTCTTGCTTGAATGATGTCATATAATGGCGTTAATAAGTAAGTTTACCAATATTAAAATTAGATTCGCTAAAGAAATTCGTAACTTGCATGTGAACATAATTATTTTGCATGTTGACATAAATAAGTCGCATGTCTACATAATTATGTTGCATGTGAACATAATTTATCTTGCATGTAGGGGGCAGAAATATGCCACCATATACATATATCAAAACGCTGACTGTTAATATTCTTTTTTTTTTCCTTTTTTTTTAAGAAATTTGTACGTCATACATATAAATTGTTATTTTAGATATATCATTAGATAAGTTATGGGAAAAAAAACTTCTGCAACTTGAGGATATGCTTTATTATTTAGCAAACAAAGTACATATCAGCCAGACAACCCGTGATATCCTCTTCACTATCGATGGATTCATGATTGAAGAGCGCTTTGATGAAGTTGTTCAGGTGAGAGAGAGAGAGAGAGAGGTGTAAAAGTCATCTCTATCTTAAAGTGTTTTGGTAATATTTATAAAAAATAAATTTCATGTCTTTTTTTCAGGGAGACGTCGATTTGAACAATACCTTTAGAGAATGTGTTCAAACCTACTGGCTCCTTGGCTGCAAAGAGATCCCACCAGAACTCGACAATTCAGATGAGTGAGTAACTGTGACATCTTATTTTTTATTTCACGTATGTCAATCAGTGTTAGATGTTTTTGAAGTTCACTAAGATATACTTATTATGAATAATTTTGATTCCCTTATCGATCTTTGTACTTGCAGCCAAACTATGGAATTCTAAAAGATAATCGAATGGCCAGACCAATGATGTGTGACCAGGAACTACTATTTTAGAAGTAAACAATAGAGGGTGAAATTTCATGTAGTACTAAGTTTAGAGATACTCGACTTTCATAGCGATTGCAATTATTTTTATTTAGCAGACTTCCATATCTGTGCGAATATTACTTGTAAGAGTAAGAAAAGTATTCATAATCCTATAAGATATGATTTTTATGTAGAAATTGCATGTTTTTCTCAATAGACCTTTTGAAAATACGAGTATAACTGAAGAAATCGCTTGCTGTTCTTTGACATTTGAATTGTTATAAAAAAAAAAATTACTGTCAATAAATTCAACAATATATGGAGATTCGTCACTCTGATTTTTATTTCCTTACTACATGTACTATGCTTTAAAAATCTATTAGTAGATTTGTGATCTTGACTTTTCGACCTTGACCTTGACCATTCGATAAATTCAATTCTACATCATCTTAACATCAAGCTTTAAAATTTTCAGGTTGCTTGAGTTATCATATTTTGACGTTGCTCTTACATACAATGCATGCATTATAAATGTCATGAATCAAACAATGTGTGTTGCATTAACATATAAGAACTTTTGTTTTAAAGCCATTATAGCTCTTTCTTTGTTAACGTGTAACTTTCATGTATCCTATGTAGATTGCATTGCATAATACACGTATATATTTACATTTCCAATGTCTTTGTCCGAGATAAAATTATAAATTGTAAAAATACTTTATTTCTACATAAATCTACTGGTTCATCAATAGGCGCGGTTAAAAAAATCACGTGCGGGGCGGGACAAATAGAGACAGAAGCGGGGCTATTAGCACGGGAATTTGCAGAATCAGGAGCATGTAAATATAAGGAATAACTGTCAGATTTTTTGGATTCATGACGATGATCAATCGATTGGCTTGCGTGATAATTTTATGCATAAACGCCGAAGGCGTTTATGCAAATTATCACGCAAGCCACTCGATTGATCACATCATGAATCCCAAAAATTAGACAGTTATTCCTTAAGTATTTCTCCCTGGCTACTATTAATACTTTTTACATTTCACTTTATTTCTCATAGATTTATTGAATGAATATTTGTAAGATCATGTATTTTTGTGGTATGTATTGTTGGTATGTTTATTTGAATGAAATTTTTTAATCATATAATTTCCTAACAAATTTAGCTTTTTATGATTATGTATCTTCCAGATAAATTTAATGAATGTAACACCCCCTTTTTCATTAATCCCACAATATCGTGTATTTTTGCATTCATAATAAAATAAAATGAAATCAACAATGCTTTAATATTTGTAACATACATCACAACTTAAAGGTGCTTATTTTATGGCGTAAATATGTAGTATCGGTACTCCTTTTAATATACTATATATGGAAATTTAAAAGTTGATACATTTGCAAATAGTTTGCTTAAATGAACTTATTGAAGAGAAAAATAATATATTTAATTCTGTATGAACTTATTAGGGGGTCCAAGGTCATAGCATACCAAAGCACACGGCGAGATGATATTCTGTCGGTGAAACTGGTTTCGGAACTTCTAACTTGACAGCGATGACGAAGGTAAAATAATTGCAGCCCGGAGGACCGGGCTGCTCTATACATATAAGTTTAAGTGTTGGTATATGGGGATTGAGGTGGGAGAAGTTATTCAGAATTAATGGTTTTCTAAACATTAAAAAGATTGTTAATCAGAATGTTCTTTCCCTTTATAAATTACGAGATACACAATATATTTACTTCCATAAAGTGAATCTGTAAAAATATATATGTTTTTCATATTTAATATATAAAGTTGCTTATCATTTACTATCGAAAAAACGACAGGTCCCTTTTTTTAGAACATCGAATTTTACTTATCGCATAAAAACGTAAAAAGTACTTTACACAGTTCGTGTTTTATATTCTTTAAGTGAAAGACATTTTTGAAAATAGGTGATGCATGTGTCTGGTTTCAAATTATATTTTATGCAGCCACCATTTACTTGAGGAATTGATAAAGTTTAAAAAGGGTATCGTTTTTGTTCGATTTTCATCCGACTATAAGTTTTCAAAATATTCTCGACTATCGTCTCCATCATTTAGACGCATGCCTTTTTCACACATATCGAAGCGGTTTGATGATCAAGACTCATTTCCATTGTTTACTTTATTTATTTCCCGGGCGACAATTGATGGTTACATCAATGTTTTCTTGTTGAAAAATGTGGTTATTTTTTTTTTCAATCAACAGATGTCCGTTAGATCTTCCTTCGTGTGATGAAAGGGTTTGAATAATAAACTAGAACTGTCCAAAAGGGACAAATACCCCCCGCTGGGTTTTTCAGAGAAGGTACCAAATCACTAATGTTTTCTAGATGTGAGAGGTGTTCACAATTTGCTTAAACATTTAGAGCACAGGAGTTCGCATACCTGTCAATTTTACCGAAATTTTTTGCAAATAAAAAAAATACGTAATACCTATAATAATAACACAAGGAGTGCAACGCATTTCAGGTCACCGGGGAACCCCTCTCTTAGTATCGAGGCTGCCGCGCAATCAATTTTCAATCGAAAATAATAAAACACTAACCAATCTTTTCGGAAGGAACCATTCTTTATGTCTGTTAATGCATGTGACTTCAAACGCCTGATTAACAGCAGCAGCAGTGACGTTTCTCCACGACTTCGCTCAAACATTCGTTGTCCGCGACGCCATTACGTGACGTATGACTATCACAGGTTCGTAGTAAATGGATGTACTTGTCAAAGATAATAAAATATTTCTATTTAGAACAAGTTTTGTTTATTTGGTTACTATATTAAATTACAAATATATATATATAGGGTTTATTGTTAAGAAATATTTTTATGTTGAGGAAACTTTAAAACCCAGGGGAAACAACTCTACCCAAAATGTCAACAGTTGAATTTGGCTCGAAATTCAAATCTTATTAAAGATAAATATGTCAACTCATTTAGACATTCTTGCTTGGTAAGTTGGGCTTTTAGAACTAACATTTATAGCATAGAAGTTGCAATTAGATTAGTCCTAAAAATAATTTACATATTATCTTATGTACTGATACCATGTGCATTGAATATATTTTAAAATAAAAGATTAAAACACAAGTCAATGAAAAAAATTGAAAATTACAAAATCAAAAATATTTTACTATATAAAAATATTTATGTTTACCTTTTCAAACATATCTGAATATAAGATGATGTGCAGAAGAAGTGCAGGTCCCCCCCCCCCTTTTTATTTGAAAATTATGTTAAAATAATGATGAGTAATTCTAACTGTTGAAAGTACTGGTATCAATAAATAAAAATCACATGCTAGCATACTTTGAATTGAAAGAGAATAATGATGAAAATCAATACTAAGTAAAACTTCCTGAGGCAGGACTTCATGAATTTATCTCTACTCACTCTGGACCATAAGATTAGCCCACATATCATACATATTTAACATCCACTGAGCCTGCCTCATGCAAAGCAAATGTTCATATGTGAAATTTAATATAATTGCAGTCTTGTAAATGAAAATATAGAGCATCAAAAGTCTGTGTTTTAAATAAAGCCCACTCTTGCTATTTATTTCACATAGAATCTCTCACATATTCACAAAAACATGAGAACCGAATAAAAGACACCAAAATTTAGGTTAATTTTGTTTATTTCAATGATATAATGCAGCAAACATTACATGTCAGCAGAACCTCAGAGAGTTAATGACAAGTTCCCAAAAGTGGTATGCAAGAAGGTTAAAGCAGAACCTGGGCCAAATTCTAAAAGCACAAGGAATTTCAATAACTAGTTCCATGATGAGAAGGATTAAGTATGAATACATTATAAAAACCATGCTTAGAAATTTGAATGTTATTTGCATTAGGGAATGAGAGTTAAATTTTGCATTACAATATTTCTTTGATAAATGTGTGTGATGCACTGGTTTGTTTGATATTTCTAGTATGATTGTAAATGATGTACATTATAATCCTGTTACATTTGCTAATCATAATCCATTTACACTGATATATATTTGTCATTGTGATTCCTTACAATATATAACTAATTTGGCCCAGGTTCTGCTTCAACCCTCTTGCGTTTCTTCGTAATCTGTCCAGATTTTCTCTCCGATAGAGCAGTTACTTTGGATCTGAGAGCCATTTTCTTTTTTCTGGGAACTTGTCGTTTGAACTCTTTAAGAGAGTCAACAAGACTTAATTTTATGAAATGTTCACTTATGTCTTGGAAGAGCTCTATGATGAGTTGTAAAACTATTTCATCCTCTATATCACTATCTGTGGGTATCTTACAAATACTTATCCACTCCTGTATCAATGAATAATTTTCATCAATCTTATTTCTCAGAAACTGATGAATGTTTTCTGTGTGAAAATTAATGTGTTCAATAGTTAGAGATGACTGTATTGCTCTATGAAGACTGATAAAAAATTTAAAGACTGGTTCACTAACTATAGTAAGCCCTCTACTTTCACCTTGTTTGGCTTTAATTTCCAACACAGTTTGGTCATTAGTATTAACATCCTCTTCCTTGATCCTCAGTTTCTGAAGAATTGCCTGTTTCTTGTAATCCAGGTTACAAAGCGCTTTCATCTTTCGACTTGTGCTTCCCAGTCTATGTAGTACGGAGTCTTGAAGCCGTCTTCTGATTTTATAAACACATCTTCCAGCAAGATACCTCACCTTGTTCTTTGCTGCACAACTTATATCACCTTGTGTCTGTTCACCTTGTACATGTTGTAGGTTCAAAGAATCTTCTTGCTCTTCTAAAATGGCACTTGCTTTAGAAGCAAGGATTTGATCTATTATCCACAAAGTTAACTTTGAACTGAACTTGTTTTGTTCTTTTGTTACCTGTTGAACATTGAAAGTTAGTTTAGCATAATTGATATGTTCATCACTTAACAGGAAACTGTTTATACTGTGATAAAATGCTGTAAATTCTGGGGGATTTCTCAGTCTAGATGACATATAATTTTCCACCTTGTGCTGCAAGAAACAGGCATGTTTTCTAATAGTTTGGGAACAAAGGAATTCCAACGAAAATGATTTCAGAAATTGAGCTGATTTATTTTCATCTAAGAAGTCATTTATGTTGTATTTAAAGTCATCAGGAATGTGCTGAAATTCTTGACTATTTTCTTCCTCCTGATGAAAGTCCTCTTTGTACAATTTCTGTTCCTCGGTTTGTTGTGCAGTTTCTGATGGTATTTCGCAAAGTGCACTTGACGAACTATTACAGCACTCCAGATCATCCTCAGGAACAAGAAATGTCTCATTATAAAAGTCAAACACTTTCTGAGGATGTTTCAGAAAAGCAGCATCCTGATTGAAATTCCTAATCCTCAGTCCGTCAATAGTTGTTGCCCTTCCAAGGGCAACCCCTAGCTGCCCAGCACAGAAAAAAGAGTAACAATCTACTTCCACAAATTCCAGGGTTTGTCCCTGGGCCCTATGTACAGTCAGAGCAAATGCAAGACTAAGTGGATATTGTTTTCTACAAGCTAGAGTGACATTTCTATCAGGGTCAAAAATATCAAAGTTAGCTTGTTTCATAGTCACCAATTTTCCTGAAAAGTTTACTACAGGAGGTTTGTCCTTTTCCAAGGAGTGGATAGTCCCTCTCATACCATTGTAAAGGCCAGAAGCAAGGTTTTTTAAAAGAATTACAGGTGCATCCTTCTTCAGTAACAGGTGCTTCTGCACTGGACTTTTCCTCAAGAGCTGAATATTTCCTACGATGATATACATTTATAAATATAAAGTCATAACAGATTTAAATACTTTCAAAATTTGCCTAAGTCACAATCTCCTGCTACCTGCTAAGAAGGACTTGAATCTCACCTGCCCCTAAGATTTACATTAGGTAAAATATTTGTATACCTAACTTGAAAAAATTACATGACTTTTCTTAAAATTTCATAAAGGGACATTCTAATAACACATCTTACATTATAAAATATACAAATACCTTCATCGACAGCTTCAAACTTAATTTCTTCACCCTCCATATCTTCCAACATCACATGGTTAACATATGACACATCAAAATTTGTACCATACAACAATGTAGGTTGAGCATTTGGTGGAAACAGGGGTCTGTCAAGGCTTGAACAAAATGCTAAGGTCTCTGGGGTAGGTGAACCATCACAAAGCTGATGTATGGCATCTACCAGTTCCTTTTCATGTTGGCGTCTCACCTTAAAAATTGAAAACAATTCATTAGTAATCTTAACAGAATAGAAAAGATAATTATAAGACAAACACAAATTATAAAGCTAAGATTAGATCAAGAAATGAAAAAAAAATTCATAAACTAAATCTCCTTTTTTTTAATCAAATTTTTATACAACAAAACAACAAATGTTTTAATTTACCATTTTGAGTTGTATATGGTGAGGTAATGCTAGGTGAAAGCATGGACTTTCAAAAGCATAAAGACCTCCATCTCCATATCTTGGATTTGGCACTGGAGACAACTGTTTAAAATCACCACAGGCTATTATCTGAAACAAATGCAGAAAGTAAATTTGTTGCATTCTAAACCCATGGCAGATGCTCTAATACAAAGTAGATAAAATAGATTAACTATAGAATGTACCAGATTTAGTAACATATACAAACATTACTGCTGTGAAGTATGAAGTACACAGTGTTGTATTTCTTCATTTATTATGATAGGAAAATAAGGCAATGTACACTTAATACATACCTAATTTTATGCACTGAGGGTAAAACTGTATACTTAGTACTTTGAACTTGTTCTGTATTATACACTTCACTCTTGTTATGCACTTTATGATATTGATTTCAAAATGATAATGCTTACTTGCATGCCTCCAAATACATGATTGTTGCCTTTCACAAGACGACAGACATGCTCTACTAAGTCAAAAGTCCTGGCTGATACCATGCTGATCTCATCAATAACAAGAACTGAAGTTTTTTCAATGCGTCTCCTGCTATCAGAATAAGCATCATCATGTAGAAAAAGCTCTCGGTATTTTTCCTTTGAGAACCTATAAAAGTATTATATTCATGAAATCAATTATTTATTTAGAGAAAAACACAAATTTACTTAATCAAATTTACACAAATACATGTACATGTTTATATCTTACTGACATAAAAATCCCAAATCACAGAGATCAAGAAATTAATTTACTGTTATGCTAATCCAGAAAAATTATAACACCTTCAAAACCCCCAAAAGACCTTGCTTAAAATATAATTGCATAATTCATTATCATGTATATGAGCAGCTCAAGGTGTCAAACCCATATAAGGACCTTATTCTCTTATCTTAAATATGGCTGTAAAATACTGGTACTCTGACTTTAATTCAAAGCACTTTAGAGTAGTGAAGAATTTACCAAGAGAAATTTTCAAAAATTTAATTACCTAAACAGTAATTAATCAATGACAAGCAAATTTTTGAAAATGAAAATTTAAATACCAAGAATATCAATAAATGCTGTGGTGAAAAGATGTATTTCATCACAAGGAATAGAAAAGCAGTTAAAAAAAAATTTACCAAATAAATCTTTCTTAGATTTTTATCGGTGTACAACTCTTCAAGGACAGGACTGGGGCATAAATTCGGGCATAACCCACTTCTACACACTGACACTAAAACATGAAAATAATGTCTTAATTTACTGAGTATTCAGCCCATACATATTCTCCTATGCTTAATCTGGGGCTATTAAGGGTCAGATACCTTAACAGAAAAGTTCTTTTAAGTACCTTCCATCCTGTATACCAGCCCAGTGATGAAGGGTTGTTGCGTCAAAACCTAACTGTTGGCTTGCCACTCCTGTTGAAGCTGTGACTGCTACTTTTTTTGTTCCAAGATGAGATATTATGTTTCTGAAAACAAAGTAATTTAATGGTGTAACTAGAGGCAATTCAAAACTCACTTTTTCATAGTGGCTTAATTATAGGGTAATGAACCAAAATAAAAGATATAACATATTTTCATGTACTAAAGTAAATAAAATTGAAAATATCTTAATGGGAGTAATATTCCACAAACAAACATATTCTTAAAAAGTTTGCATATTTTTAAAAACTTAAAATTTTCTAAAACATTACACTGCTGCTTTGTGTTTTAGTCAACTTTGACATTGTCCAAGTATAATTAGATTATGATACATCCTGTGATCATCTGTGATTTTCTGACTACATGACATTCTGAACTACAAATGACCTTGGTTCATGGTCTTCACCAAACACTCTGGTCATGTTCAATCTTTGTATTAAGTTTACCTTCCTTGCATTACAAAGTTATGATCCTGGCAAGTATTTTATTCTTCTGAACCCTCTGAATTGCCCAAATGACCTTTATTCAGCACTAACACTTCCTTCTTTCACATCAGTCTTAGTGTTGATAAGCTTCTATCATATCTGCTTAATAAAGATATGGCCCATACAGCAAATGGGAAGGAAAGAGAGACAAACATAGCAAGTCCTACATATCCATCCAAAATTTTTTGGGGGGAGGGGGTATAATTGATGAAACTGACCTCTTATTCTAATGAAATTTCTAAAGCATTTTGAAGACATATATATTCAAACTTACAGGTTGGCCATTCACTACACCAATGAAAGCCCAACTTCTTACACTTGCCTGACTCAAATAATGAATTGTCTAAACAAGTTCTGCACAGAGAAGGATGTTCAAACTGCAACATCAGATGTTATATCCAAGATCATCTATAAGCTTTTCAGAGTTAAGTCTTCCCGCATATACGAGCAAGGAGAGTTCATTATTGCATTTCAAGGCTTAAAACAACGTGTACAGCATACAAGCAATGAGAAGCTGACTTTTCCAAATTACTGTCAAGTGAAAAATTTTAATAACCACCAATTAATTTTTTTGGTTCCATTTGACCTTACCATAAATGGACAACAACAGTACTGTGAAATTCATATGGAGGCTTTATTCTCAACATTAACCATTCAAGAGCAGACGTACAACTTGAAGTATTGTTTAACTCCAATCCAGCATCACATTGATGGGATATTGCATTTAGTCCATAACTTACAACTATGTGAAGGACAACAAATAGAAAAAGCTTCTAGTGAGTCTATATCCTTGTCCAATACAGTTGGTGGTGAACAACAGAAGCATGTCATAAAGTCCAAATCATGCAAAATTCTGCTGCCACCTCTAGCGGCATCAAATGCATGTTCAGCATGTAAAGACTACAGGCGTAAGAGAGAAAAACGAAAGGCACTCAAGGAGATCAGTAATAAGTTGCCAAGGCACAACTCAGAGACAGTCAGTGATTTAAAAGAAGATACCTGTGTCCTTGATGCACACATCCAATTTTGTGAAGAAGATCACAAAGATTTTGAAATACTCCTGAAAAATGCCCTTAAGGATGCTCCAGAAAAATTTCAGCTGTTACTTCATTCCCAGCTACAAAACTGTAGGAGTGGTATAGATGCTCGCCAGCGTAGGTGGGATCCTCGAGTTATCAATATTTGCTTACAGCTGTTTCTGAGATCTCCACAGGCATATGAAGACCTGAAGAAATCAGGTGTATTAGTCCTCCCATCCAAACGACTACTTCAATACTACAAAAATTCCTGCTCTTCCAATGAGGATAATCTTGCCTGGATGAAAATTGAAGCAGACAGACAAGGAATACCTGAGTTTGGTAGACATGGAGGTCTATTAATAGACGAAATGTCAATTCAGGTAACAGTAATATGTAAATTTCAATCCTGAAGCCTAAAATAAAAAAGATATTTGTTATCCAGTGAAAACCTGAAAAGTTAACCTATATAAAAACTATACCTACCTACACACTCTAAAAATTATGGTTGGCATAAAAATTTTTAAAGCTTGGCCTGACATTTTTATCAGTTAATATTACATCTGTAAATTCATATCGCCAAGTTATAAACATGTTTGTGCAGTTTTTATTTATGTATTGTTTACCTTTACAGGATGATCTTGTAATCACAAAAGTGGGAGATTGTTGGAAGTTAATTGGCATGGTGGACATGGGAACCACAAATGAAAATATTGATATTATCTGCAAAGGAAAAAAGGTTACAAGGCTTGCCTCACAGGCTTTGCAGTTTGTTTTCCATGGCTTTACAGGTTTCAGGTGAATAGTTTAATCAAAAAGACTATATTATGGAGGTGTATTTTCAAAGTTAAAACAGATCTGAAAAGAATTTCAATTCAGGATTGTTGAAAATTAAAACCTTTCTGAATAATAACTAGTAAGGGATTCACTGAAAGTTGTTTGAAAGTTCATCTTATTATACCATAAAATGTTAATCTTGTAGATGGCCCGTCTCCTACTATGGTTCCACAACTGCCACATCACACCAGCTCTACCTGACGTTTTGGAAGAGTGTTGATGTTTTGGAAGAAATGGGTTTTACAGTGGACTACATGATGGCAGATGGGGCAACCACAAACAGATCATTCACTTCTATGTTGTTTAATGGAAACCCAAGGGAGGAATTATTTCTATTCAAAAATGTGTATAATAGAGAGCATGTCATAGTTGCCATACAAGACATCAAACATGTGTTGAAAAGAATTAGAAACAACATAGAATCAAGCAGAAGGGAAAATCAGGGGAACTCTAATGGACGTTACCTTGTTTTGGAAGGGCAGGCAATTCTATGGGACCACTGGGAGGAATGTTTTTTTTTCAATTATCAGGGTGGCTTTGAAATCCACAACAAATTAACTGAAGACCATATCACTCTGACGGCAGCCTCAAAAATGCGCAACCAACTGGCCATTGATGTTCTGAATAAGAACATGCTGTTCCTCATGAAAAGTTACCAACAGACATTGCCAGATCCTGAACGACTTTCATCATCAATAAGACTGCTAGAAGCTACATCAATTATATGTGATATTTTCTGCAGCATTAACCACCCTGTAACATCCATGGAGGATCCAAGGATAGCAGAGATATTTCAAGCTCTTCAATTCTTCAACAGGTGGGAGGCTGACACATTGGATTCTTCCCCTACACTTGCCAAGAAGAATCTGATGACAAAAGAAACAAGAGATGACATCAACTCATCCTTGGTTGGATTCACCTCACTGTGTAGGCAGACAATAGGCAAGGGCAACACCTTAAATCCTGGCTTTCTGAATTCTGACCTCATTGAAAACTTCTTCTGCCAGCAACGAGGAATTCGAAATGGCTTAAATTCTAATCCTACATTGGCACAGTTTGGTAAATCCAGTACAGCAGTTATACTTGGCCAGTGCATAGTGTCAAGGAGGGCCAATGCATCAGAATCTGCCTCAGCTAGTAATTTCCGTGCTAAGTTATCAAGACCTTTAAACTCCACAAGGAAAAGCAAGAAGCAAATTAAAATGAGGAAATTGAGAATATGAGCCCTGAAAAGATTCTCAGTCCACCAAATTAACATCCCAGTAATTAACAGTGAGACAAGGAATAATTTCAATCATATAAAGTTTTTGTGATCAAAGCCCATTAATAAGACTTGGATTTGTCAAGATTTTATGTTTTTCCTGAGTCTGCACTATATTATAAACACCTAACACTAATGTTCGGCAATTCACACTTTGTTATTAATATCATGAATTACTGGGCGTGCTTGATTTAGCTTAATTTGGTGTACACCAGTGTACACTGGTGTGAAAGGTGGTGGTGTATAATCAAGTACATTTTACGAGTTGTAGTGTATATGTTGTAGTATATGTTTTGCATCTCGACAGTGTGTGGCTAAAATTTTTTTGGTTTAAAGTGAAAAAAATTAAAATATATTATGAATTACTTAATTATTTAAAATGGTTAAAAAATAATTTCAATGTAATCACTTACACACAAAAGTAGATATTTACTGGTTACAAATGAACATACTTGAAAGTCGGGACTAATTTCTTGCCATATATGCACAAAAGACAACTTGAATGTGATTTCTTATCCTTTATATTACACAAAATAATTTCTTAAATTTTCAATCGTACCATTCTCCGCCATATTGGATTCAGTGTACGCCTTTCAACACATGCCCTAAATTTGGTGTAAGAAAGTGTACAGTGAGAGTACACCCAAAGTGCACTTATTAATTAAGAAAAGTGTACACGGTGTAAAAGTATTCTCTATTGAGAAGTTGATGGCTCGTTTTAATACTCCCCCTGTTGAGGGGGAGTATTAAAACGAGCCATCAACTTCTCAATAGAGAATAGGTGTAAAAGGTGCAAGTAAATCAAGTTCGCCCACTGTTACATTTTTATATAAACATAGTTTATTGTAAATAAACCCATGTACCTTAGCCAATGTGTCTTTCCAGTACCACACTGGCCTGTAATTAGGAAGCTGTGGCCTTTAACGGCAAGATCTACGAGGTCTGGGGTGCCTCCATCCATTCCCGCGAGAATGTCCGTTTCATAGCCGCCGCCTTTGGTTTTGTATACTAGCCACCGCTATTATTCACTACGAACCTGTGATAGTCATACGTCACGTAATGGCGTCGCGGACAACGAATGTTTGAGCGAAGTCGTGGAGAAACGTCACTGCTGCTGCTGTTAATCAGGCGTTTGAAGTCACATGCATTAACAGACATAAAGAATGGTTCCTTCCGAAAAGATTGGTTAGTGTTTTATTATTTTCGATTGAAAATTGATTGCGCGGCAGCCTCGATACTAAGAGAGGGGTTCCCCGGTGACCTGAAATGCGTTGCACTCCTTGTGTTATTATTATAGGTATTACGTATTTTTTTTATTTGCAAAAAATTTCGGTAAAATTGACAGGTATGCGAACTCCTGTGATTTAGAGTGAAAATTTAATTACTCAGGCCAAATAAAAAAATATGTGTGGTTCCGGTTACCCGACCGTCCCTATTTTATACCCCCCGACTCTAAACTTTTTTTGACAATTTTCATATTTTTTCCGGAATTTTCCCCAATTTCCATCAATGGCTCCGGTTTAAGTTTTAGTTTCAGCAATGACAGCCTCCTTTCACAACATAGTGCAAGTGTTTATTAGTGTTAAATCCAAAGCAAGCTAGCATGTAGGTGTCCCCTACCAATACTGACTAGTATTTTATCACACCACATCTAAATGTCATTTGCAAAGTAGTGATAAGTATTATTTAGAATAATTAAGAAAATCATTTTATTAAAAAAAAAAAAAAAAAAAAAAAAAAAAATCGTAACCTACCTACCCTAATTTTTTTTGGAGGTGTAACCGGAACCACACATATTTTTTTTGTTTGGCCTCATTATATTTTTTTTTAATAAATGAAACTAAGGTGCAGCCTAATAAAACATCAATACTAATAATTACAGTGTTCTTTATTACATTGAAAAAATAGTTTGCAACTATATGTCATCTTTGTGAGACATGACACTCTGCAAATTGATTGTTGAAAAAAAATATCACAATTTAATTATACAAAATCAAATTGATCTTAATACCTTTATATCAAACTCATTTTAAAAATAAAAGGCTGGTTCCAGTGATTATGTATTTTGACAGACATAATTAAATTACATTTAAGAGACTTAGACAACAGAGATCTTTATTTCTTTCTGCCCAATACCCAAGAGATATAGATAAGACCTGCTTGATCAGAGATGCCCTAACAGCTTCCCACACTGAACTCATTAATTAATCTTTAACTGGATGCATGTCCACTCATTACTCCCAAGGGACAAATGGATTTACACTATCTGCTGTGTAATGTAAAAACTGTTTTTAATACTTTGTGAGTTTTTTTTTTAGTTCTAATGAGTAGTTTGAAGCTGTAGTTCACATTTCTGTACAGATGTTCTAGATTCTATGTCTCAAACCTTAGACATGAACCCGAAATGTCTAAGTCAATAAAAATGAAAAATAAAACCACCTGTAAAATGCAGAAAAATGATCAAATAATGTTGAAAATACCAGGTGCATATTTTCATATGGTAAATAATAAGTGTACAAATTTTCATACAAATCTATGCAATAGTCTCTGGGAACAGATCCGGACAAAACCACATAATAAAAATGAAAAAAAAAAAAAAACACCTGTAAAATGCAAAAAAAATATCCAATCACGATGAAAATACCAGGTGCACACCTTCATATGGCAAAGAATAAGTGTACAAATTTTCAGACAAATCCTTGCAACAGTTTCCAAGAAATGGTCCGGACAAAATCTCGTCTACAGACAGACGGACAGACAGACAGACGGACAGACAGACGGACAAGCTGATTCCAATATACCCCCCTAAACTTCGTTTGCGGGGGGTATAATAAGTATTAAAATGACGCTTTCCTATTAACCCGAAATTCCTATGAAGGCCGCAGACCTGTACTCGGCACTTACGGCCTTTGAGCAGTGAAAGATCTTTTTAGTCACATTACACCTACTGCGACAAGGGACCTCGGTTTATACGGTCTCATCCGAAGGACCGGTCTCCACGCCAGTATTCGAATATTCGTCTCAAATGTAAAAGGAAATATAAAATAACAAGGCTAAAATGTTCACTGGGAAATGAACTTGGTTGGTACATGATCAAATCTACTGAGAAGTCCTTTGGGCTCCACAGGATTTGATCACGTGACCAACCAAGTTCATATCCCAGAGAACTTTTTAAGCTTGTTATTCATTTCTTAAATAAATATTTTGTTTTACTGAGACTTGGGCATACGAAAATATTTCTGAAGGCGTCCAGAAAAAACTTAAAAGAACTTGATGTCTTCTAATGCTTACATGTATAGGTAAGCTCACCGCAACTTGTTTTTGCTAAAATTGTTCTACAAGTCAAATAAAACACTTTCATAGAGATGAATAATGTCATTTATTAAATTGATGGTATAAATGTGAACAATTTAAAACACAGACAAATTAATTAAAAGACAATTATAAAAGTTTTGTCAGAATTTAACCCCCCTCCAAAATAAAATCCTTTAACATGATCAAATCTCATTTATATTAATCCTGACTAATGCCAAAGTATCTTTGCTAACCACATGCATCGTTTGGTTAGATTAATTGACTTGAATCTAGAACCCAATTGATATACCAAAATTGCTAGTTGTGCAATGGAAAAATACAAAAAGTACAATAATCTTATAGTTAAAAGGATAACATAATTTGTACAGGCAAGTCATGTATGAAATCAGTCAACTAAAGATTATATACATCCACTGAATACTTTCTCCTTATGAAAACCATTTTTCTTAAACAATTCATTAAGCTCCACTTGTTAGAACCACGAAGCACATACCCAGCAGCAAACAATACAAAATACTACGTACTAAAACGCACGTTTTACGATTATTAATGCTGATATCAATATATACAATAATCCTTGTTAATGCTGGATTAACAGTTGCAACCATTGCAGACAAAAATGACATAATCCTTTGACGCTAAATTATGACACAAATTGAAAAAAAGTTGTTCAGCGAGAATTTGCTAACATACACAGAACATAATACAAAGCTATTTTATTCAATTAGAATTAAACATTCGTATCAATTACTAATCAAACCACAAGACTTGATAAATTTTCAACAAAGTTTTTTTTTTTTTTTTTTTTTTAAATAGATTAGTACAACATTCGATCCAAAAAGTAAATCGTGTCAAAAACTTTACGAACAGTTGTTATAATGTTTGATCGGAAGTTGTGTTCTTTTTGAAAATGCAAGTTTGGAATTCGAAGACCAACAAACATGGAAACTTTGTCATTTATAATGTCATATAAACATTGTGACGTTTAAATGTTTTGACATCAGAGCAATGGTATCTGTGGATCTACATGTAGGAAAGGTTTCCCTGTTATAGGATTACAAAAGTGAAAATAGTCTTTAAAAAAGATATGTATTGATTTTATTAAAGTATTAAACTTGCACAGTTTATTGCTTTACATTTTAGGGATATATACTTTCAGTAAATGCAATATTGCCTTTCCATATCATTAATCGTAATAAAAATAAATGTTAAAAGGGAACAAGAAAATCGGCTAGTACCTAGTTGATTAAAGGAGCACAAGAACAACTAAAAAGCTGTACAATAAATGCACCATCACAGAAAAAAATGTGACAGGAAAATTTAGGGACAGGTGAGCACTACTTACATGATCCAAGGTCTCTCAAAAGAGATCATGTGATTCTTAAATTTGTCACGCCATGCGTTTTATAAAACCATCCTTCTTATACTCGATCTTCTAATTGATTTTAGGGCTAGTCAAATTTCATGTCCACTTAATGCAGCCAGAAACTCTTGGCGCCTATAGAAGTAAAAATAAATAAATAAATACATGTATGTATTAATACATACATTTGTATATTTTGTATTCTGTTAATGCGCATATTACTCCTGATCCACAATAAGATGATAAAAAGGCGTAAGATTTGGAGTGTCAAATAAAATGCAAAGTTTATGTGGTAAAGAAATAGAAAGACATATATAAATATATAAAAGGACTAAATCGAATGGCGAGGGAAAAGTTTAACAACATACTTAATCATATACAACATGAACATACTTAGTTCATGTTGTACTCGAGAAATTAAACGCTTTGTGTTTTCACAATTCTAGTCTGTGTGTGCGTGTGTGTGTGTTTTATATTTTAATCAAGATAATGACTGGTAAAATTTTGAACAGGCCGAGACGTGATAATTTTTAGACCCAGAAGTTTTGAATTATGTTCCCCGAGTCTTCTTTGCTCCGACCTGCATGTCTTTCGTTATGAAGATCGTCGTTATCTGTATGAATAGACTCTGAATCACTCTCCACTCCTTCTACTTCCGTCAGCCAATATGTACGGACGATTCCTTTAAAAGCGTTATTGAGATCTGGGTCGTTCTGTAAAATGGTAGGAAGCTTTCATTATGCGTATGCTTGAAAACAACAACTCTGTAACACTGCAAGCGTTTTTGTCAACCAAAATAAAAAAAAATCCTTTCTTTTCAAAGGTTTTTCACAAAAAAAAGAAAGATAAAATCCATTTTTCTGAACAATCTTTAATCAATTGAATTCTTTGACTTGAAGTAAAATGAAATATGAAGATAACGTATAGTTATCATGCTCAAAAATCCGTTTAAACAATAATAAAAAAAATTGCCTGTGGAGCCAAAACGGACCACTGAAATAGGTGGGGCCAGGTGCCATTGAGGAGTAAGGATCCCATGTTGACTTTTTTGGCATATCCAACTTAAATTCAGTAGCAAATACGTAAAGCGGATATTAATTGAGAATAAAGCATTTTTTTTCAAAACCTATTTCTTATTTTATTAAATTTGCTAACGCTTCGATAAGTTGCAAGAAATCGCTTTCACTTTTTTTTTTAGTTATATCTCTTTAGGGACTGATACAGAAAAGATCATCCCCCTTTCTTCCCAATAATCTAGAATTGAGATTTTTATTCATATTTTCTTTTTCTGATTGGTTGTTTTCCTCTCCTTTTGAAAGACGTTAGAAAATCAAACGGTTCAAAAAGTTTCATGTCATCAAGACAAAATGTTGCTCAGTTTTCATTAAACAATTTAAAATTATAAAATTACATTATCGGAAGTCGTTAACATATCTTTAAAAATACTTGAAATTCAAGTAAAAATGAGAACTTTAGGACTATTTTCATTATCACCTACATGTAAACTAAATCAATTTTTTACGTAAAAGTCTTGCCTGTCCAATGCTATCTTTCCTTTCCTGCATTGTAAATCCGCCAATTGTGGTCAACAGGTCATGAGTTGTCTCGCTCAAGTGAACCTTGTTTGCTGCAGAATTTAATTCAAGAGTAATATTGGAATTATTCTGCAATTTGCAGATAATGTCATTATTGAAAGTCTAAATATTATACCTTTTCCGAGAGATTCCATTTTGGAAGCCACACTCACTGTTTCGCCAAACAGACAGTACCTTGGCATCTTGTTGCCCACCACTCCGGCCACTACAGCACCTGGTTTAATTGGAAAAATAAATCTATGTTTGATATAATCCACTCTAAAGATGAAATGAAATTATAAATATCAAAACGAGAATGGAGATTTACCAGAGTGACAGCCGATACGCAGGCTGAATTTGATGCCCGGAAGGTGAGGTATTTCTAGATGGCGAAGTTTTCTTACAAGGTCAAAAGCCATCTTGGCAATCTCTGATGCGTGCTGTATTCCGTTCTTTCTAGGTACACCTATATTTCATTGCATTAATGGATATGCTGATGTGATAACATTTTATATATAAAACAAGAGCAGATGTCGTCATTTTTTTCTTTTTAATCACCAAAAAAAAAAAAAAAAAAAAAAAAATTCCCTGAGGCATCTTAAAATAGTGTTTGTTTGCCCTCTCCCGACTCGGGGTTAAAAAAAAATAGTTCGGTAGGTAGGTTGAAAAAAAAATTCCCAGAAAATTTCAACATACTTGTTGAGGGGATGAGAAAAAAATCGTTTCCTGGAGGAAAAAAAAATTTGAGTCGGGTATTTTTAGCCAGTCTGTCGGGAGAGGGCAAACAAACAATTTTAAAAGATGGCCTGATCTATTTAAAAAAAAAAAAAAAAAAAAAAAAAACACCATTAGGTTTGCATCGCAGTAACCTAGAATTTTTCTGCAACAGTCAGGTCAACTTATTTTTTCAAACCAGAATTCGGTATTAATAATTCCCTGCTGCAGTATTTTTCCTGTCTTTAAGTTTTTATATTACGGAAAGTGCATCCAAAGGAACACACCCATGTGAAATAAAAGAAATCTGAGAGAAACCTATAGCGCAGGGAAAGGGGGCAAAGAATTATTATCTCCGAGTTTCATGTGAAAAAGTATATGTTACCGACCTAGAAACATCAAAGACGTAAGCAACATGTCTTTAAGTGTTTATGTGGGGAGTTAATTTCTTGTAAAAAAAAAATAATAATAATAATACACATGTACAGTGTAAAATGTAATTTTTTAAATTACAATTAGAAATAGAAAATTGTTATCATATATGAGTATTAATGTAAATTGTTTCGTCTACCTGATACGACCATATAGGCATCTCCTATAGTCTCCACTTTGTAAACATCGTACATTTCTATTCTTTCGTCAAAACAGGTGTAGAGACTGTTCAACATGTCAACAACCTATCAATAAACATTTTTATTATTGCTTTATATACCGTCTTCTTCAAGAGAAAATTATACAACATTTGGTATCAAGAGATTCCAAACCTGTAATGGAGAACTGGAGGAGGAAATTTTGGTGAATCCAACAATGTCACTGAAGAAGATGGTGGCTTGGTCATAGTGCTCAGCATCCACTTGTTCGTTACACTTCAAACGTTCAGCTACAGATTTAGGCAGCATCTGGTAGAGGAGCGTATCTGTTCTCTTCTTTTCCTTGTTCAATGCTTTTGTTCTAAGGAGAAAGAAAGAAATGACCAAAAAAATCTTAAAATCGTTAACATCATTAAAACCATACAAATCTAATAACAATTGACATTCTATTCCGATAAACATTGATGCATTCACGAATGAGATGATGTAAAAGAATTTGTACCTGTTAGCGATGGATATGGAATATTTCTGGATTTCAGATGTTAGGTAATAGACGCCAATAATCACCAAAGGGCACACAATGAAGACAGCGCCGAAGATGCACGCTATCGTTATAATGGTGTACATGTCTTCAGTACTTCTTAAGGTCAACATGTCATCAATTTTACTTGCTAAGGCTTTTTGTGTATCTCTGACGATATCTTGATATAAAGTCATATTATCAAACCATTCATTTGCTTTGTCTAGCGACCCAACTAGACGAAAACTCTTGTTTGATCGAATTTGAAGCCTCATAGATCGTACAGGAGCTAAAATCAAATCATTATTCAAAAGTTGAGTCTCATAAATGCTGTAAGCTAGCTCAGAATATCGTCGACACGACATAAATGTTATATTCGCGATATCTTGAGCCTCCAAAAACATCAGATAATCCTCTTTACTCCTAAAGCCACCGAAGGCAAAATACGTTACTCCCATGCCTCGTTCTCGCCCAATGTATTCGCTTGCAACGATGATTTCTTGATAGGCTACCAAAGTTTTCCAAATGGAGCCAGATCTTGCCTCCGACACAGCGTCATATAGCCAAGTGATGAATATATCAATTACATCTGTGTAGAAAAGCATCTCCTCTTTGACTGTTCGGTTGTACAGATCCAGTTGATACCGATGACGGTTTAGAAACAACAGAAACTTGTCCTTTGATTGGAACTCCTGTCTGTCGTTTTTCTTACTGACGGGCCAGTATGATAAATTTTCCAAAGCTGTGTCAGTATCCGGATATCTTTTGAGTAGAAATTCTTTTGTGTCTGGACCAATAGCACTTATGTAGAGAGCGCTCATGTCTCGTTCTCTTTGCAGGTATCTCATCATTTGACCCAGTTCTATTCTGTAAAGATTTGTCATTTATGTTGATCTTATATCCAAAAATAAAAAAGATTTTGATTTTTAAAATTGAAATTTATTAAAATAATTTACAATATGATTTTCTAATACAATCTTTAAAACCAGAATACAATTGTTAAACTTACGAGAAAAAGAGAGCTTCCCTTGTATCTTTTGCTTCGATGAAGTTTTGTATTGTAGAGACAAAGACATTTCCCGTCATGCCTACCAGTACCGCCATTGGCAGTAGAGCTACAGAGAGCATTTTTATCAACTGCCTCCTCTTCCCACCCTCCGTTATAGGATTTCCTTTCATACAAAAATGTGAATGATAAAACAATTATAAACCCTGACTTTTAGCAATTAATATGGCTTGGAAAACAATACTGCACTGCTTAAATGTGTATTTAAAATGTTTGATATCAGAAGTGTAATTTTAACATATGAAAAATTCTAGAATTTTAGGGACCTTAAACAAACAACTAAAAAACCAACAAACAAATTCCATCAGAGTACCTCGAATTCATCATTTACCTCGACAGACGTAATCACAGCTGCCAGAAGTCTGGTTCAAATTCAGCATTTCCATGATGGCCAGATTTAGTTGAGACTTAGTCATGGAACCAGTTGAACTATTTATGGAATTTCTCGGTTTGGAAGGTTCAATCTGGTTGCCCTTTTTCTTAAACAAGCTCATGCTGTCTTTAGATTTGAATCCTTGACTATATCTATCTTGAAGTACAAAACATTCTAAACTGAGTCAACTGCATTCAAAGTTTATGGCTATTTTTAGAGATGTTTGTACATATCAACATTAAGCTATAAATTCCGTATAGCAGGTTTTCTTGCCGGGTGTAAAATTTGGCGTTATGCTTGCTTAGATGTATGCCATTACTTTTAGCGGAACTTTTTTTGCCGGACACTGAGTACTATTACTTTGTAAAAGAGAGGCAATTCATTTTCTAGATGATTCTATACGATTATTATTCATTTGAATATGGATTTAGGCAATTTGAGTAAAAACCAACACCAAATGAAAGATATATCGTTCAACAACAGACTGACCAAATTATTTTTCTTATATTCTGTACTTATACGCAAGGGTGCAAATTTAGCGATTAAAATTTTAGTGGGCTACTTCAAAACCGCTAAAACAAACTAGTTAGCACCCCCCTAAAAATCCCGCTATACGGTATACAACATTGAGCTACTAGTATACATAATATTTTGTTTAAAACAATTAAATTAAGGATTATGCCTTCTTAATTTTGTTCTCGTCCATTCCATACCCTGAAAGTATGTAAAGTATTTACAGGAAGGATATGCAAGCGGGGCATTGGCACGATTACTGAAAAATGTAATCGATTAATAATCGATCACTTAGAGGAATTTTGTGTAATCAATTATTAATCGATTACATTCATTTTTGTTCTGTAATCGATTGTAATCGATTACTTTGGAAGATGAAATTATCGATTATAATTTAATAATCGATTACTTCCAAGTTTTTATCCCCTCAAATTAAATTATATAAAGTTATATGGAAATGTTAATGATATCCACTAAGTTTGAATGTGTTTCTGCAGATTCAGTGCAGATTCTTGTAAGGTTTTATTCTGGTTTCATTTCATATATTAGACCTAACATTTTCACTAAATGCCAAAATGAGGGATTCTCTACCATGGACAGTGGAGACATGGTTCCTACTATAAAGTATAAGAGGAATGAATTTTTACTTTCGACACTGGATCTGAACCTCCATATTTATTGATTTTGGTTGTAGAAATTATTTAATATTTTATTGTGGAGGATTTGGACTGCCTGCATGTTGGCAGTACACATAAAACATTCCTTTGTCTTCTCGCTAAAAAAATAAGTTTAGAACTCTTATTAACAAATATGTAAATTAAATGTGCCTTTAAGTAAAACTAATAGCACAATTGCATTCTGTGATGAAATATTATAGTGTTTTGAGAGCTATTAATTGTTCTGATAATATTGTTTGTCTTCAATGGAACTATCAATTATAAAGGTTAAACAATAAGTAGGTCAAAGCTCACACCTCATTATCTGCATGTCAAAGATGTCCCAGACAATTAATAGCCAAGATAAACAAACACAGTGAATCCTACCCCCTGTTTTTAAAAATACAGACAGAACCTTTCACTGAAAAAACAAGTAACCTTACAATTTTGAATGAAAACATGAGAATGATTTTAAGATTTTAAAGTTACTTAAACATAACAAAACAGAAATGAATATTAAGTATTTTCATCTTCTTTTTTCCAAATATAATGTAGTTTATTTACCATATTATTTATATTTAATACAGCACTTTAAATCTGTTTTTGCTATTTAATATATATTTTTTATGACAAAACAAAGTTTTTCAACATCAAGAGTCAGCGAGTCAAATGTAAAATGCACACAAAAAATCTGTATATCTTATTAATAAATGGTTGAAATACACTTCTGAATTATTTAATACTAGACCAGCAGGCCTGTAATGCAAATTTTATTGTGAACGTTATCAAACTTTTGATCATCATAATAAAAGTTAGGAAATCAACGCATATCTGTGGGTGATTTTTTAAAAAATATTTTTACGTGTGACTGACTGGAAATAATTCTCCAAAATGACATTCATTTATGTATAAAGTAATGGAAAGTAATCGAAAAGTAATTACATTGAAAATTTTAGCTTTAATCGATTAAATTAAAAGTAATCGAAAATCTCTTCGATTACAGATTACTGTCGAATATTTGAAAAAAGTAATCATTACAATCATTACAATTACTCGATTACGATTACCCCATGCCTGATGCAAGCACACCAAGACTATGACATTGTCATTTTCCAAAATTTTCATTACATTGATTTTGTAAACATTGGCCTCTATTTCGACATATTACATGGAAACAGCATTATAACTTTAATTCTAAAAAATAGATACTTACCTTTATTTAGAACATCAACCTTTTTCGAAAGCAGTCAAATAAATGTTTTTGATTGATTGTTCCACATACCGTTGTCATGATACAGAATTATGTACCCATGCTCTGTAGCATTCTCTTAAGTGATAATTAAACTAAATTTTCAGAAAGTCTTTTTCTTATTTGCTTCAAAAGGGCAATATCTAAAATAATATTTAAGTGTTAATTGACACCTCACACATCTACGACATCTACGACATTTAAGATATTTTTTTACTTAAACACCAGACTAATATTTCAGGATTCTTTATTGTCCAACGTACGGATGACTGACTGTTTATCAGAAAAACCATGCAGCTTTGGATTACATGAAAGCTAATTCTGAAACCTCCCAATTCTTTATGATTTGGTGTCTGAGATGATGAATAACCCTAGGAGCACGTGATAATTTGCATATTTAGCGGAAATAACACATGATTATTAGCATTAACAGGGAATACCCATGCATGAAATATAAAGTATTCCCTTTACATTGGTCTTCAATTACTTAATGTAAAAGGTAAAGACAACGAACAGTGATCGATCTCAAAAAATCCGTAAACAATACAAATGTGTGAACAGGGCATAAAACACGACCCCTGGAAACTCCAGGGGTGGGATCAAATAATGCACACCTAATTCGCACGTTTACGTTTTTGTGTTTTTTCCTTATCCATGACCCCTAGAAAAATCGTGATATTTGGTTGAGTTTATTTGTATTTCAGATTTAACTGAAATCAAACAAATAATAGTAGGAAAAGTGGTGTTTCGAAAAGAAAAATGCAAATTTATTCTAATGTAGTAAATATTTTTACAATATTCATCTAAATGAAAAACCCAAATAACAGAAAATTATTCATCTCAGTTTAGTCCTATTAATATTGTATACGAAATTTATTGAAATTGGATTAAAACCATAAAAGAAGTAGTATTTTTAGAGAAATTTTTAACTCTCATATTTCATGACTAGGTTATAAGTTATTTATATTGTAAAATAAACTTTTCCATATTTACCTTTTATTGCCAAACGTTTTAATTTTAAAAGTCCTGATTTGCAATACTTTTTAACCTTACATTTGTTGCATAGATGAAATAGAAACTACAACAGGCTTTTAATTCACGATTTTCACTTTCAGGCAATTTAAGTTTGCCTAGTAAGATGTAAATTACATTAAAACCTCTTCTTTTTAAAAGTTGTTTGCTAAGCTGACATCTTCAAATCGCTCTGTAACAGAGATACTTGTCACAGCTAATGAAAACATGTTGAATTGCGCATCACACTTGCTAATTTCCAATATTTCAATCCTCCATGTTGTTAATTTTTATTTATATTTACGTTTTGATTGTTTTCCTTCATATATGTACACAAATTATTTCCCCCGTTTGGTGACGTGATTGTTATAAGCACACGATTTAGTCTTTGAATAAATAATGTAAAATTTTGCTACAGATAGATGATCAATTGGCATTAATTTTTTGCTTCTTTTCTAATGCTGTATCATGTGTTTTAATTTTGAAATCTGCATGCAGTAATCTAAATGTGTAATTTATTGTAGTTAATACTGGGTGCGAGTAGGTTAAAAGTTGTGGAGACTCCGTCAAATTTCAATCCGGAATAATGAAAAATCTTACTTCAAAAATTTTACCAAAATAGTCTATATTATTTTTGTTTAAGGGTTGTTTACTTTTAAAGCAGATACTAGTGATGTTCTATTCATCGTCAAAAGATTCAAATATTCAAAGCTTTAAGAAACTTTTATTAAATAATAATCAACTTTATTTTTGAAAACTTTATTTGAAATATCACACAGGAGTGATTGAATGTGTTTTGTTAGTCACACTAATTCCATGCCATTTAAGATTTTATGTGTTTGCTTTTGTAATATAGATTTTTTCCCCCGAGTTATGTTTGCATGAAGTTATTATATTGGTAAACTGGTAAAAATGAATTCTTATTATCACTCTCAGGAAAGTGTTAATGAAGACGTGGGTATGAAATGGAATTTACAAAAAATCATTTCGGCCATCTGCCATTTTAATCTTGATGATAATTAAAGAAATGGCAACGGGTCTAATTTTCAAATTAATTATTTTGAAGTCTGTCAAAATGATAAAATTCGCCCGTAATCATATAAAATCTTTCATCAGTTGACATGTTTTCGGAATAGTTATTAACAAGTTTTAAGTTATTAAATATTTTGCAGAAATGTTAATATTTCAAATTTGAACATCAGAGAGTATATCTAATATGATAAGTAGATAAACAGCACGAAATGTTCTCAAACAAAATCAAATATGGAGTTATCGATATTTTGAGGAAAAATTCATTTGATTATCACTTAAGAAATAAACAGAGCCAACGTGAAGAAACGTAATACGTTGCTATGGCAACCAACATTTGAAGACTGCTTTTCTTGGCATTTTCCTTTCAGAATTTTAAAAAGTTGGATCTTTTACAAAAAGGTAAGATTTTAAGGTAAAGCATACTCCCCAAATACAAAATAACAAACCTTAGAATGACCATTATTTCTTAATTCTTTAAATGCTGTGATTTTTTTATTTGAAAGGTATTGTGTTTAACCCTAACATCTAGAAAATAGTGAGAAAAAACCTCACACATCATGGGGTTGTTCAAGAAAAAGAACAACCAGGTTCAACCTTCAAAGTCCACCCATTCTTTGAACAGTTCAGCCGGATCCATGACCCAGTCTCAACTGAATTTGGCGATAATGGACATGCTGAACTTATCTCAGACAACAAATAGCTGTGATTATGTCTGTCGAGGTAAAACATGATCTTACTTATTAATCTTAATCATTATTAATTGAAGACACAAAAGGAAGTCTATAAGGAAGTGTATGTTTAAGCTCTCTGTAGTTAAGATGTTACTTTTACATGAAATATGGAGTTAACGAACAGTATTCAAGCTCAAAGTCCATTAAAACAATACAAATCGGGAGCAGAGCAAACACGGACTTCTAAAAACATCACCGGCCGTGTGATCCTTGTCATGATCTGGAAATAACAGAAAAATCCGTCGACAATTCAGTGGGTAAATATAGTCTAACAATTAGTATGAAAAACGTCAGTCAGCAATTTATTTAATGATAGATTGTATTTAGTGACAAGGTCATTGTATCGACCATAGAACAACGAAATGATGACTTTAAACGAGACTGTAACGATATTCTTGTTTCATCAACTTGTTTGTCAATAACTTACCTCGTTTTAGAAATTGTTCATATGTATCGAATCAACTGAAAGATGTGAACCCCATATGAAGGTTATTGCTGCATAAGTAAGAGAAGTTGTCGATTGAAAAGTTAAAGGCATCACGTTTGTAATAAAGCTTTGTTGTTAGATTACCATTAACGTGTTTTACTAGTAAAATATCCAAATATGAAACAGATGTGTACATACACAACGTAATAATTTAATAATTTACATGGAAGGAATAAAAGCATATTTAGGTAATTTTATTATTTTTGTACATGTGAAAAGGAAATCCAATCACTGAATCTGGAAAGCGGAAGCAGTTATTGAAAATGCTGTCTGTAGTTCTTCTACCAATGGCAATATTGGTAGGCATGACGGGAAATGTCTTTGTCTACACCATCAAGAACTTCATAGAAGCAAAAGATACAAGAGATGCTCTATTTTTCTCGTGAGTAAAGGACTAAAATTTATCGGCTAAGGTTACTGATTAAGATTTCGAAAGAAAGTTTATAGATTGTTTCCTATTAATAATCTTTCAGCATTGAACTTGGCCAAATGATGAGATACCTACAAAGAGAACGAGATATGAGCGCCCTCTACATAAGCGCCATTGGCCCAGACACAAAAGAAGTTCTCCTCAGAAGATACCCAGATACGGACATGGCCTTGGAAAATTTATCATACTGGCCCGTCAGTAAGAAAAACGACAGGAAGGAGTTCCAATCAAAGGACAAGTTTCTGTTATTTCTAAACCGCCATCGGTATCAACTAGATCTGTACAACCGAACAGTCAAAGAGGAGATGCTTTTCTATACAGATGTTATCGATATATTCATCACTTGGCTTTATGACGCTGTGTCGGAGGCAAGATCTGGCTCCATTTGGAAAACTTTGGTAGCCTATCAAGAAATCATTGTTGCAAGCGAATACATTGGGCGGGAAAGAGGCATGGGTGTAACGTATTTCGCCTTCGGAGGCTTCAGAAGTAAAGAAGACTATCTGCTGTTTTTGGAGGCACAAGATATCGCGAATATAACATTTATGTCGTGTCGGCGATATTCCGAGTTAGCTTACAGCATTTATGAGACTCAACTTTTGAATAATGATTTGATTTTAGCTCCTGTGCGATCAATGAGGCTTCAAATTCGATCGAACAAGAGTTATCAAAGTGAGGGATCACTAGCTAAAGCAAATGAATGGTTCGACAACATGACTGTATACCAGGATATCGTTCGAGAAACACAAAAGGCCCTAGCAACGAAGATAAATGAAATGTTGACGGTGAGAAGCACAGAAGACATGTACACCATTATAACGATTGCTTGTATCTTTGGCGCTGTTTTCATCGTCTGCCCTTTGGTGATCGTCGGTGTATACTTTCTGACGTCGGAAATCCAGAAATATTCCATATCCATTGCCAATAGGTACACATATTCTTAATATAGACTTACTTAAGAGAAGTATAAAGGAGCATCCTCTTCACAAGCGCCATTGTTACAACATAAAAATGGTATACAATTAAAGTATATCATTAAGAGAGTTAGCAAGATTGTAGTTTCCCGAAGCCAGGACTATTTCTCGATGCGAAGCCAAGGGACATTGTCGAGTGGAACTGGAATCTTGTTAACTCCCTCAGTGTTATACTTTTAAATGTTTTATTATACTGATACAAAAAATATCAAGAGAATTCCTGATAACCGATAATTGGCTTTCGAAGCAGGGAATAGCTCACTTGACTAACGCACGGCAGAACGGAAATTAGTCCATTCACTGCGATTTCTAGTAATTGTTCCCATCTCTCGGTCTAATTTCATTAAGGGGAAATCATTATAATAATACTTCATAAATACCATGATATTTGGCATGTTTCTATGTCTATGTAAATGATAAGAAAGATATTTTTTTATCCTTACTTTTTTTTAAGAACAAAGGCGTTGAACAAGGAAAAGAAGAGAACAGACACGCTGCTCTACCAGATGTTGCCTAAATCTGTGGCAGAACGTTTAAAGTGCAATGAACAAGTGGATGCCGAACATTATGATCAAGCCACCATCTTTTTCAGTGACATTGTTGGATTCACAAAAATTTCTTCCTCCAGCTCTCCATTGCAGGTAAGGAAAATGCAGTTACCAAATGTTTTATTAGTCATTCAAAGACAACAATTTATCAAAAATTGATTTTTATGTTTATTAAACAGGTCGTTGACATGTTGAACAGTCTGTACACTTGTTTCGACGAGAGAATAGAAATGTACGATGTTTACAAAGTGGAGACTATAGGAGACGCCTATATGGTTGTATCAGGTAGGAAAAACATTTACATGTGTAACGTCATCAGATATTGTGCATTAAATACAAATAAAGATGACACAAATTTAATTCAAAATAGGTGTACCAAGAAAGAACGGGAAACAGCACGCATCAGAGATTGCCAAGATGGCCTTTGACCTTGTGAGAAAACTTCGCCATCTAGAAATACCTCACCTTCCGGGCATCAAATTCAGTCTGCGTATCGGCTGTCATTCTGGTAAATTGTCGTTTTTGTATTACACATTACTCATACAGTTTTTCCAAACAATGCTGCATCTGGCATTTGTACTTTTTTGAAATGGTGCTGGACTGCATTTATACCTGTTATCTTTTCATATTTTTAGCAAGGTGTTACCACTGTCCAGATCTGATGTTTCAGTAACTCTCGCAAAAGGAAAAACAAAATTTAAGGAAATCCGATCCTCAGAAAGGAAGGATAACTCTTAAAATTATTAATTAATTTAAAAAAGTCTCAAAATTAAGCTTGAAATTGAGAAAATACCATGAGTAAATACACATTACTTTGAGAATTCTCGGACATTTTTGTGAGCACTTTCAATTATTAAACTCCTGATTTTCAATACCTGAGGATCGCACTACCTTAATAGCGAGCGCAGCGAGCGGCGCGAAGCGCCGCTCGTCACTGCGAGCTCTTAAAGCAACGCCTGGGCGAAGAGAAAATTCTGACTTTGCACATTGATCCAAACGAATTTTTTTCCGCAGTTAACTGTGGTCCTATAATGCTTTGCGAATTCCATCTCGCCGCAAACAACGTTCACGCGGTAACAAGAAGTTCCAAGAAAAAAATACACTCACCTTGATTTGATGGATGTATAGTAGATAGATAGAAGATTAAACCTTCTTTATTAAAATTAGCACTGTTCAGACTTCGTTTTGGTAATGCAACTTACAAGCGACGTCATGTGACGTCAGAGTCTAGACGTACTAAATGTCACGTGCGATTTGAAGAGCCCGATCTGAATATAGGTATCTGCGCTCGCCCTAACGGTCGCACCGTCAACATATTATCTCAATAAACAAAAAAAAAATCGATTTTTGGTTCTACGCGTGAATGCTGTGGTCATTGCAGCTTTGAAATACGCATTTTTTTTTTAGTATTATAGTATTCCATGTTAGTGAAAAGCTTTTCAGAGCATTTTGTTGCACACACAGGTGCCGTGGTGGCTGGAGTAGTAGGGAACAAGATGCCAAGGTATTGTTTGTTTGGAGAAACAGTTAGCGTGGCCTCAAAAATGGAATCTCTCGGAAAAGGTAACACAACAGAATATTCCACTAACAACTAACCTCGTTCAAACGTCGAGGATTTTTCAAATTCTTATTTATTTCTATGAATTACATAGCAAACAAAGTTCACCTGAGCGAGACAACATTTGATCTCTTGACCTCTATTGGCGGATTTACAATGCAGGAAAGGAAGGATTCCATTGCAAAGGTTTGAAGTGTTATTAAGCATCATTATGACTTTTTACTTCGAATAGAAATACTTTTAAATATATTAATGGATCTTTTATCTCTGATCGAATTTCTTATGCCTCCTCTTTCTTTTACTTATCAGCTAGCAATGCAAGTAGAGTGAATCAAAATGATATTTTTTTATGATTTACAGAACGATATCGACCTACAGAACGCCTTTAAGGGAATCGTTCGCACGTATTGGCTGGTGGAGGTGGAAGGGGTGGATACTGACTCGGAATCTGTTCATACAGATAACGACGATGTGCCTCACGAGAGGCATGCAGGTGGGACTATTAGGCTACCTAAGTACCATTACCCCCCAATACTTGTAACCCATTAGCACAACAAAAATGTTGAAAAATGATGGTATTTCAAATTTTGAAATAATTTTTGATATCTATGATATAGATACTTTTATAAATTTTATTCATATATGACCAATACATGTACATGTATGTGCCTCTCCTAATTACCTAAGTACCAGATTTGAATTTCAGTTCTCTTTTCACAGGTTCCAAGAGCTTCTGGTTGCATTAAGAGACTAATCTCTAGCATACTGCAGATTCCACAAAATAGGATGAACTTTCTGTATTGTTATGATTTATTATTCATATTTTCAGTGGATACTAGTATGTACATGTAGTTAAAGACGTGTAATCATAGTTAATTCTTCTGGTCCAAAAAATTTTTTCAGTGAAATTTGAAAATATAGGATTCTAAAAATGATCTTTCTTAGGAAACAATTCGTAAAATCTTACAGAAAAAAAATCAAAAATCGGGCGGGACCATGAGATAGTGCAAGGGTTGTCCGGTAAAATTGTGGACATCACAATAATTCACACTGAGTTGAAATTTTCAGGAAATGTTTATCAATCATATTTACGTACATATTTATATTTTAAATAAATTATAGGCAAAAATTGGGATTTTATTATACTGGAATGTGTACAGGGTATGGTCCTACGGCGCAGAACCCAAAAATTAGGATTTTATGAGGAAATATTCGAGTATTATTTCGAAATAAAAGTATTAAATAGATAAGGTTGGGGTAAAAATTATCATATTTTTAATTCCCTATCTATTATGTCGTCATTTGGAAAATTTCAAGGAATTTGCTTAATTTTTATCAGTTTTCCTAGACTTTAAAATAGGGAAAGTGGAAAACGTAACACACGAAAAATGGCGACGCTTGATGACGTTACGTCGCACCGGAAAGCAGTTCAGTTATATGTTGAGTAATGACGCCTTACGAGACTTTAAATGATAACAGAATATAAAAATACATATAAAATATCACTTACACATTAAATTACAAGTGGATTGGGCAATTTTAACGGCGGCTTTTTGATCGAGTCCTCCAGTAGATCGAAACATACATAAAATCAGCTATTGGCAATAACGGAAGACGCTTTCATTGCAAACCGTCGAAAAAACACTGCCAATTTAGTTCAGTGAGAGTACCTTCCATATCTTATTAATGAAAGTTTTCATAACGTCCCATGTGTGTGCGAGATTGGTCACTCGACTATTTAAGGAGGAATAAAGGCGAACTCGAGTGTGTGCGTCGGTAAAATTCCTGAAATTTAAGTGGGGCTCATCCAACTTTTTTAAGCAAAGATGAAATGTGACGTTGCTTTTGACATTTTGACGTTATTATCTGTGCTCCGTAAGACGATATCACTTATAACATAAAATCCCATATTTTGTTTATTTCAGCATATAACTCTTTGAAATTTGCTATGTATATTAATGAAAAATGTACTAATGGGTAGGGAAATTTTAGAATAAAATGTTGATTATTTTTCACTCTAGACTACTTGTTCACGATTTTACCGGACAACCCTCGTACTCAAAATTTCAAGCTAATTAATTTATTAATATATTGTTTTAATGTCTGAAGTTTTGTACTTGTTTTTTTTAATTGGTCAATAAAGATAGCAGGACATCAGTTCGTGACAAATTTTTGTTCATTTATTTTCAATAACATTCTGGTCAAGATATCTTTCAAGGTATTCTTGCTCTTGGAAAATCTTGGAATTTCTATAAATAAATTAAGATTTATCGGTATAATTTGGGCCTATATCAGATCAGCCCTGCTTGGGGTGGAATTCAAAGCAACAGATATGATCTGAATTTCTTCTTTTGAATTTTCAAATTAGCTTTAATTGCAGAGTATTTTCCGCACACGATTAATTGACCGATTGATATATAGGATGCCAGGATTAAGGGGTTTTTTTTTTTGGGGGGGGGGGTATTTATTTATTTTGTTTGGTTGGTTTTTTTTTTTCGAAATTAATCTTCCGCGTAAATTTCCACTTTTTTTTCAAAGATCCATTGTTCCGATGTTCACGTGATCACTATTTTTTTTCCTGAACGTAGCTTTTATAATTGAAAAGGGAGTAGAATCATGTAAATGATATGTCAAAGCCATACCATTCGGTCATGTTATCCTGCGCCGACAAAAATATATATGGAGAAGGATATAAATAATGCTAGTTAAAAAGTATGAAAGCAGTCTCGAGAATCAGTGTGAGTATAAATCTGTTACTGTTTTTTTTTTTTTTTTTTTTTTTTTTTTTTTTTTTTTTTTTTTGTAAAGCAAATATGAATATAATTTCTAATAGAGCTCACAGAATTCAACAAGCATCAATATCATTGTACAAAATACTCGTGTTGCTGTGTTTAAATATATTTTGGTCAAACACTTGTGTGTAAAAAATTACATGAAATTTCTATCATGTGTGTTTTAACTATGAGTTTATATCTGGAATTATTGCAGTATTTTGTAAGGAATGTGCATATTAAAAAGCTTCTGAAGTTGTTGACACCCAAAAAAATCTGATCTGAAATATCGAAGAAAGCATCCGAAAGCACTGAATGCAAATTATTGAAAAAATCAGGAAACGGTGACAGAGTTTGAATAAGAGGGATTTTTTGGCAGTTTGTTCAAATCATGACCCCTGGGGCAGGGCCACAATAGGCAATCAAATTTTTACATAGAAATTATTGGGGGAAAATTCTTCTTAATAACAGCAAAGTCCTGATTATTTATATTTTTGTGCAAGCATCCTAAGGCAGTGTAGCTTCAAGCTTCTCGAACACACAGCTAATGAACAATAACTTCCTTTTTAAACTCATTTAACGGCCGGGGGATGAGAGGGTTGTTCTACATGTAGCGAGGTACGTTTAATAAGACTCGTGCACGCCCCGTTTGGGGCCCTGTGTCCTTTTCTAAAATTTTTAACATTAGAAAGAGAGGGAGAGAAAGAGAGCTTGAAAAGAGTTTTTACAAAATATTTCATGTTGCAGGCGCTTGCAAGAATGTTTTATCATAAATGTTTAAAATTATTGACCCAAAAATAAGTTTTTTTTTCCAGTTTTATTCATAAACACTGACGTATAGGGGGAGCAAAAAATAAATACCGGGTATTTTTTTCAAAAACGGTTTAATTACATAAAAAATAAGTATAAAACTAGATTCAATGATGTTACCTTCGCCATTTTTGGTCTCCTCGTATACAAATTTCCGGTTTTTTCCACCAGGATGCAAGATCTCGTATGACGAGATTTGGTTTATTAATATCATTTAACATTGCACATAATCTACACCAGAATTTAGTGTCTATGAAATCCCCTGTTCCTTTCCATTTGAAATACTCATTATACTTTTCGTCATTAGCGTCTAAAAACTTGAGGTAATCTCCTAAATTTTCAGCAGATTCAAAGTCTTCTACGTGCAGGTAAGAGTTCGGTGGAGCAGATCTTTTGTAGTCATCAGGATGTGCTCCCATGACAACAGGAACCACGTCATTCCTGTAATAGTTAAAAAAAACGGATTGGTCAGCAGCAAGAATGGAAACAAATTCAGAACCAGTATTTAGGGGACAATGGGAAGAGGAGTGATAAAATAAAACTGGTAGTATCACTAATTAAAATGTCAAAAAAAGAAGCGAATTTAAACTTGTTTTACATATGAACAGTAATTTTCATTCTAGAAAACTTTAAATTCCTGAACAATTTAAAAAAAACATTGATAAATTGTGTGCTGAATATCTGGAAGTCTTATACAAGGTAACGTGTAAAATATTCAATCAAAATTGAAGAAGATTGAAGATTCTTCAAACACGATTTTAAAATTAAAATTTAAACATAGTACATGCAGTTGTTTTCAAATCTAGAAAAAGAACTAGGAATGAAGAATTAAACTTTTTCGTCAAAGAGAGCAACACTGAAACAAAGTAAACATCAAAACAGCAAGTGTAACGTATCTTAATCTATTACTTTATATGGAATTGTAATGAACTCTTCGCTCTTCTATCCCACTCTTTTTCAGACTAACAACATTTCTGCACATTATCATCACTTTGTACTAAATTTGTATTGAAATCTTTTGAAAAACATGCATTTTATACATCTGAGAAGTGATGTTAATCAGATGTGCATACGTAAAAACTCCAATGAACTTTTAGAAAATTTGCAAAACATAAACATTTAACCAAAATTATCAAAACAGAATCAAATCGTATATGTATGACTTTTAAACATGCTTGAAATAAAAGATACCACAGAGTCTGACACATCTGTTTCATATTTGGATATTTTTCTAGAAAAAGACGTTAATGGTAATCTAACAATCAAGCTTTATGATAAACTTGATGACTAATTTTCAATCGTCAACTTCCCTTACTTATGCAGCAATATACCCTTATCACCTGCATATGGGGTGTATATCTCTCAGTTGCTTCGATACGCAAGAGCATGCTCTACGAATGAACAATTTTCAAAACGAGGTAAGTTATCGATAAACAAGTTGATGAAAGAAGAATATCAACAGTATCGTTTAAAGTCATCATTTCGTAAGTTTTGTGGTCGATACAATGACCTTGTCAGCAAATACAATCTATCATTAAGTCATATGCTGACCGACGTTTTTCATACTAATTGTTAGGCCATGATTTACACACTGAATTGCCGACGGATTTTTCCGTTATTTCCCGATCATGACAAGGAGCACACGACGAGTGTGACCGTTTGGCAGCGGATGCTCACTCCTCCATGGCACCTGATCCCACCTCTGATGTTTTTTGAGGTCCGTGTTTGCCCTGCTCGCAATATGTATTGTTTTAATGGACTTTGAGCTTGAATACTGTTCTTATCTCCATATTTCATTAAACAGTTCCGCAAGATAAATTAAAGACCAGGCTTTTTGACATCATAGACAGCTGCTTTTTCAATAAATATATACTCAAAAAATTTACATACCATGTCATTGGTCATCAACAAATTTACTTTGTTAAAAACAATATTGTTAAAAACAATATGATTCTACACATAAGTACTTCGAGGCTAATATTCAAAAGATGCTTGAGTTACTGACAATTTCTAAGTAGTCTTTTAACAAACTGATAGAATTTTCTTTGGTAGTACTAATTGTGTCCAGTTTGCAGACATGTGGTTGTATTCAAAAACTCCTAAATGAAAAGAAGAAGTGCCGTGGTCTCCAATTCGACTAGATATATCAAGGACATCTTATCAATCAACAATATTCTTTTTCATTCCTACAGATTTGATACTCCATGGTACGAAAGCCATGAAGGGACATGAGAATTTTCAAAAAAGTGTAAAAGTAAACCGAGATCTCGATTTATATAATCCGTTCTCTCGGAATGACAATCTGTTATAACGAATTACTAATTCGTTCTCACAGATTATCAATTCGTTCCCTCAAATTACACAATCCGTTATCTCGGATTGTAATTCATTCTCTCGAGTTAAAAAATACATTTTCTTGGAATGTTTGTCGTTATCGGGAGGAATATAATTTGTTTTACAGGTTATCCATTTTGATTTCATGCACCATTTGCTGGTCTACCAGCTGGCAGCTGAGTGCACTTATTTATCTGTCCATCTCAGATATAGCAATATTTGTTTAATGAATAGAATATAGAATAGTACACACTCTACATTTCATTACATATCACGGTCCTTACTGAGAAAATTACACGAATATTTTTCTAATCCATTTACTAGTACTAATATTTGTACAAGTAAATTCTTAGATATTTGGTTATTTTAGAATCATGGAAAACACTGATAAAAGTAAACATGGGTCCTCTGTAATTATTTTTTATTAAATAAATTTACATTTACTTAATTTAAAAATACTACGGAACGGCCTGTTGCATAAACAAAATAGAACGCATGCGTTGAGATAAGGGAATGGATTCTTCAAGTCGTAAAACATGTAATTGATGGATTGTCTAAATCAAGAGGCCGAAGTGATAATCAGTGGGAACGGATTATGTAATTCGAGATCTCGAATTATAAACCGAGGGAACGAATTGGTAATCAGTGGGAACGGATTATGTAGTTCGAGATCTCGAATTATAAACCGAGGGAACGAATTGGTAATCAGTGGGAACGGATTATGTTATTCGAGATCTCGAATTATAAACCGAGGGAACGAATTAGTAATCTGTGAGAACGGATTGTGTAATTCGAGATCTCAAATTCATTTTTGCTTTTTTGAGAAATCGACGTGTCCCTTCATGGCTTTCGTACTACTTTCGTATAAACATGATCATTCTTCTTTATCTTCACATTTCATGAAATTAAAATGGATCAATACATTTTGATCACAATCGTTTTAAAATCAGAAACGTGAAGATCATTTACTTACATTAGAGCGTTCCGGAAAAACTTTTCTGTTATATAATCCCTGCAGTTGGAATTTTCGAAAGCCAGATAAAATTTGTAGTCTTTTTTCAACATTTTAAAGCAATCCATTTCGATGGATCTGTCGCACTGTTTATTTCCACAACCACCATACACATCTACAGGTATGTACTTCTGCAACTCTGTAACATACCCCATTCTATTATTACTGGTATCACAGTTTGATACAAAAATTGCTGCTAGCTTTTTCTTTCCAGCTGCATAATTTTTCGGTTCAGTCTTATTCTTTCTCTCTGTGAATGGTAACCATTTTTCATAAGGCGCTACTATTGTTGAATCATGGCGATATGCAACTGTCCAGTTAAAAATATCACCCAACAAGAAATAATCTGGGGTGGCCAATGGACCCTCCAAAATATAAAGAATCCATATTTCATTTGGATCTCTACTAAACATTGATAATTCATTAAAACTTATCATGATATTGAAGAGTTTGGCGTCGGCTTTTCTCTTCTGGTTATCGTCTCTGTGAAGTTCACAATTTTTTATCGGACAGTTGTCCTGAATAAACTTTTCTTGTCCTCTTGGAACGTCAAAATCACCGCTTCCGCTTATCAATATAATCTTATTACGAGACAAATCCACTTCCGGTTTGTAATTCATTTGTTCATATATCCTATCCTTACCTGACGTCGTGTCCCACACTACTGTTAAGTTAGATAACACGTTTTCCTTTACACTTTCTGCACTGGATGCACACTGAGTATTATATCTTACACACGGTAAAGTTTTCACTATTTCCTTCGGAGTGCACCGAAATATGGAAGCAAAATTAATTACACAACTTACAATTACGAACACAATGACAACCAACAAAAAGTCTCGATATAGTCGTTCCATCTTAGAAACCCAATGATCTTTCAATAAAACGTTGAAGCTTTAGATAACAGAGGGTCATTTCACCTGCACGTACTCAAACTTTAGATAACGTTTTATGAATCGACTTGGGAAATTAAGAAAGTACATTTCATATAATCAAAGTCAAGGTAAATCATTAAATTGTAATTATTAATAAAAACATAAACTCAAATTTTAGAGAACAGTCCCATTGGCTGTAACACTAACCTGAAGCATGCTGGGGCACTGACTGGTTGTATTATCCAAATTTATAATAGGTCTATTTGTTTACTGAACATATCACACAGATATCTTTATAGTAATAATTTATAATTATTGACATCTATTAGGTCAAAACACTCAATCATCTCTTGGAAAATGATGACATTCAGCTAAATTGAGTATTTGCGTAAATGATCGCACTGGCCAAATAAAAATTCAATGAATGCTTTGTTCTATGAAGACCATAGCTGAACGGCATTCAATGTTTTATAAAATTGCACTAATGAAGACAACACGACAGCCAGGGGAAAAAAATTTAATTCAGTCGTCGACTCGCAGTATTAGGTCGTTATAAAAGGAATCATGCAAGCAGTAATCAAACAAGGTGTAATAATATCTCTAGAACAAAACAATTCCTTAATGTCCACGAGTAAGTCAAAAAGGTGATGCAAATTTTCATAATATTTGTAGATCAAAACAGTAAAAGCACTCACATGTTCATACTTTATTTTGTTGAACAATTTGCATTAGCCAAACCTTTATAGACATCAAAAAGATTTGAAGGGATATCAAACTTTAACAAATATTGCTTACAACTTCTGATGAATCGACACTGCGTATTAGTTGTACGTAGCTTAAAATTTATGACAAAAGGCGTGCTATGACCTTGATACAATGACCTTGTCAGCAAATACAATCTGTCATTAAGTCATATGCTGACTGACGTTTTTCATACTAATTGTTAGACCATTATCTACATTACATTATTTATCTGAATTTTTCCGTTATTTCCCGATCATGACAGGAGCACACGGCGGGTGTGACCGGTCGGCAGGGGATGCTCACTCCTCCATGGCACTTGATCCCACCTCTGATGTTTTTGGAGGTCCGTTTTTTCTCTGCTCCCGATTTGTATTGTTTTAATGGACTTTGAGCTGTAATACTGTTCGTTATCTCCATATTTCACTTGAATCAATGTCGAACAATGCCAAGGTCCACAAGGATTTGAATTTTCCAGTGCATACAGTGACCTTTTTAATGAAGAGTCGATAGAAATTTGCACGAACGGAGACTTTTATAAAAGCTTGTTATAACCCTGATATTAACGTCATTGTTTTATGTCCAAAGGGTTAAAGCTACACATGTGACACAAAAGTTGCTTGATGTAATGATGGAAGGTGGGTTTTGGCCCTACAAGTTATTGGATGATCACAGTTTGTGTACCAACAACATTTTTGAATAACAATTTTCAAACATACACTGATTTGAGTGCCCATACGCAAGTTTTTGGTTAAGTTGGAAAGTTCAACTTAATGATATACTAGACTATAAGTATTACATATCATCATGTGTGTGTGGGTGGGTGTGTGGGTGTGGTTTTTCCAGCACATCCAAACTAAATAACATCGATATCAAGACGTACATGTAGTGATGCGAGTTTGTTTCTCACATTTAATTGCATTTTTCGTTCACGACTTAATGCCCTGTTTTGTAATGCTACTGGTATCTACATGTAATAAGGCAATGTGCTGTGATCTATAGGTCAACCAAACTTGCATTAATGTTGAAGAAAGTGTTATCGATCACCTCTCGACCACGTTTTAGTCCAGGCACTGCAACCTTCATTACAGAATAATAAATATTTTAGTACACAAATGGTATGAAACCATTGATTTCTGATTGTAGAATAAGTTACTTGACTTATTGAATGCTGTACAGTTAATGGTTGCCAACTGGACGAGCTTGATGTGTACATTTTAACAAGAAACCTATGACACAGCCACTTCCCATTTTATAAAACCTAAAAATGTCCTTTCCATATTTCCTTTCTATGATAAAAGAATGTAGGGATTTTTTTTATCAATGAAGAGAAATGTCCAAAACGTCATGTGCCTGTGACCAATGGGCCTTGACGGTCACCCACGTATCACAAGCTTTTCAAGTTATTACTTCATGTGTAGTTTGGTCCCACCTGGGACTGTTCTGGATTTGACTATGTGACAAAAAATTAACAATTCGGTGAGATTACATTCATGAAGCTCATCTAGATGAAGTTAAAGAAGATAAGGAACCCTGCATAATAAATATCAATACATAAACAATATTTGAGCAACTAAGCTCTACCCTGAGGCCTGATCCCTAGTCGTGGGGACATGAATAAAAAAACTGTAGAAAGCTAGCTTCTCATTATAATCATGCAAATAATGCGCCTGCTCTGTGTCCATGCGTTATGTACACATGTTGATTTTCAAGGATGTTATTTACTTTTAATATATGACCACTTTACCTCTACAAAAAAAAATCTCAACTTTATGTAAAATACAATTTTCTGAATTACAAGATATAATAATTCAGAAGAGAAAAAGGGAATAAGATAGATTACATAATAAATATATAGTGATTCCAGCTGACCAAGCAGGAAATAACGGTGTTTGTTTGTAAGACTCAATATTATACTAGTAATTGTATTTAGAGGATTTTAATTCCACAATTTTGAGGTAATCCAACTTACACTCAAAGTTCCCTTCCTAAGAAGGATTTTTTTTTCAAAATCATAAGTCGGTCTAATTTTTTTTTTATTTCCCAACAATCAAGTTGAATTTTAATCACTATACCTATATTGGATTCCTGAACTACATAAAAATCCTTACAAAGGGACATAGCGGGTTTTAGTAAATGTTCTACCAAGCCTCTTTCTTACTCCTCACCAAAATATTAACAGCAGTGAAGGAGAAACATCAGGGGCACTGTACATCAACGTATTCGAGATGTGGATATTTAAAAACTCCAAGAAACATAATTGCAGTTGGAACTTGTAAATTTGCATACCTTTTCATTGGTCATTTGCAAAATTATGTTAAAAAGCATTATGATTGTTCACACAAGTATTCCGAAGTTGTTACTAACTAGATACTTGGGTTTTTGATTGACAACATCAATGTAGTTTTTGAGGATCAAGTTTTCCAATGATCTGTTGGAATTCCCATGGGTACTAATTGCTCCACGTTATTAGTAGACCTATTTTTGTATTCATATGATGCAATTTTTTTTTCAAAACATCCAAACGAAAATAAGAAGTCTGTTGCTGTGGCCTTCGATTCGAATTTATGATATATAGACGACGTTTTATCAATTAATGGTATTCCTTTTCATTCCAATGTTGATTCGATATACGTATCCCTTTAAACTCAGAATAAATAAATACTAAATAAATAAATAAGGATAAATCTGTTTCATATTTGGATATTTTACTAGAGAAAGACAATAATGGAAAACTAATAGCAAAACTTTATGAAAAAAGTGATGACTTTAATTTTTCTTTCATCAACTTCCTTTACATGTTTTTATGTAGCAATATACCATAATCACCAACATACGGAGTTTATGTCTCCCAGTTGATTCGATAACCATACATGTTCTACTTAACGAAGAATATTTAATACAAGGCAATCTATTCATAAATAAGTCTATACAAGAATATCAACGATCTCATTTAAAGTCAACTTTTCTATGGTGGATACAATGGTCTTGATAGGAAATACATACTGTAAGGCCATTATTTTTACACCGAATTGTCTACATATTTTTTTCTGTTTGCCCGATCATGACAAAGAGCACAAGAAGGGTGTAACCGGTCGACAGGGGGAAACTTACTCCTCCATTGCACCTGAACCCACCTCTGATTTTTTTTAGAGGTTCATGTTTTCTCTACTCACAATTTGAATTGTTCCAATGGACTTTTGAGCTTGATTACAGTCATTGTCTTCATACTTCATAGTAAATAATTTACGTTCTTCTGATTTATCTACCATGGGTGCTACCGGGTATTTTGCGCATTCAATGGGCAGGGCATTTCATCATGAATTTGGTACAACAATTATTTATTTGAAATTTATTTAACCGTCGCTGTCTTAATTCTTAAAGAACCTAGGAAGTTATAAATATGTCACTGTTCGGTGCCATTTATGGTTATTTATATGTGTGTTTTTCAAATTGATGTTCAAATTATTGAGACAGAACCGATCATGGTTGACTATCCCTACAATATTATTTCAACAAGGTAAGTACATAAACATTCAAATATTTATATTAATATAGGGCATACGGGCATGTTTCTGCTAGGTATAAAGGAAACTGCCCAACCACATATGCACCACATTTGCATCCACTTAATTACTAGACATTTACTTGTTATTTTGTAATGTCATTGAAACTCTTATAATATATTGTCTTTCAATAGAATACGCCACTCTCCCGACATTTGTATTTATTAAATACATGTACATCTTGTTCATCAAGAAATATTTTGAACATACGTTTTTTGTGGTTATTTTAAGTACTAGTATGTGAAATAATTCAAAATTAATGATTAGGAGAATTTACGTTTAAAATTCAGGTGTGTACAATTTAAATTCGGAAATCTGATTTTCTTTTCTTTTCTTTTTTTTAATATTCAGGGTTTTGATAGTTACACTATACTTTGTACATTTTTACATATTTTGAAAATAACTTCAAAAGTAAATAACCCTTTTTGCAAATAGAATCTAACATCTGACAAATATGTATATGATCTCTTTTTCAAAATCAAATATGCTCTCTTTTTCAAAATTGATTACAAAGCCAATCGGAGAACTGGCATGATTGCCAATATTTCAACACTTTACACTCTTTAGACTCATAATTTTGCTTAAAAAATCCACTAAACTGTTGCACCTCAAATACAATTTTCACAGCAAAAAAGTGTCTCGGCCAATATATCATCAAGAACAGTTTCATAAAGCTTATTTCAAACAACAAATTCCACTTTATTAAACACAGTGTTACAGTTCAAATTTGTTGTGGTTTGATTAAATTTTTCAATAATAGTTCAAGCTAAACAAAAAGGGATAGGTGTAATTTTTTCAATAGCATCAACTTGTCTTATCATAGTACTTTAAAGATAACTTAATTGTAATACAGGGCAGGGATCGACATTAACAGTTGTCCGATTGCCCGGGACAAGTAAATTCTCAGTTCGGGCAAGTGAAATTGTCGACGTACTTGTCCGATCGGGCAAGTGAATTTTTTTCATACAAATGTACATATTTATTAAGTTTACATTAATTTATAAATAAAATGATAAATTGAACACTTTTTCCCCAACGCACCTGACTGACAATGTTTTTGCATTTGGAATTCCTTGCTAGCGTTTCTGTATTATACCGTTCACTTATAAATTGGGTTCGTTATTTTTTTTTTCATTGTAAATACGCTCTACGTCTAACAAAATTTTGTTAACTTCTTATAGGGATAGGAAATTAGATTATTTATTCGTAGCAACTATCTTCCTTTAGCGTTGCTTCACAGTCATCTCTGAAAATCACGTTTACAAAAGGATCCTACAAAAAAAAATTTAATGAATTTTATTTAAAGGAAACGGAGGGTTATTGCTGCATGGCAATGTGTGCTAACAGGTTAAATTTACAAGTACAGTGGTATACATTTATGTACAAATGCAGCATCGCAGATTTTGGGCAACCAAGTTTTGCATTCGGACAAGTAAAAGTCTGAGATCACTTGCCCTTCGGGCAAGTGAATCTGAAAGTTAATGTCTATCCCTGCAGGGTATCTAGTTTGTACATACATGTAATCATCTTGAGTATCATTTGGTATAATAAAACAACAAAAAAAACTCTTTCAGCAAATAAGAAGTCATGTTATCACATGTAATTTAAAAAAAATTAGGTACATGTACATTAATGAGCTTCAATACTGCACAGTCGATACAATTCCTGTAAAAAAAAAGTTCAGAAATATTTAAGGACAACTATCACACTCATTTGATATACCATATGGATAAACAAACGGAAACAGAACAAGAGGCCCATGGGCCACATCGCTCACCTGAGCACATTGGCAAGGGGGGGGGGGGGGCTTGAATTTTAAACTACCTGATGATGCTTCCATGTCAATATATAATTTGTTTTAACAAATGGCTTTGTTGTACTTGAGAAGATTTTAAAAAAAAATTCCCATATATTCTTCTGTAAAAATTTGATCCCCCATTGTGGCTCCTCCCTATCCCAGGGGTCATCATTTGAACAAACTTGAATCTACACTACCTGAGGATGCTTCCATATCAATATGACTAAACATAGCTTTTCTGTTCTTGAGAAGAAATTTTTTCTATATGTTCCTATGTAAAACTTTTGATCCCCTTATTGGGCCCCACCTACCCTCGGGGGTCATCATTTGAACAAAATTGAATTTACACTACCTGAGGATGCTTCCATATAAATATGACTCATCATGGCTTTGCAGTTCTTCATCAGAACATATCTTCCTACATATTTCTATTTCAGACTTTTATCCTCCATTGTGGCCCCGCCCTACCCCCAGAGGTCATGATTTGAACAAACTTGAATCTACACTACCTGAGGATACTTCCACATAAATATGATCAATCAGGGCTTTGCTGTTCCTGAGAAGAAGATATTTAAAGATTTTTCCTATATATTTCTATGTAAAACTTTGATCCTCCATTGTGGCCCCGCCCTACCCCCGGGGGTCATGATTTGAACAAACTTGAATCTACACTACCTGAGGATGCTTTCATATAAATATGACCAATTAGGGCTTTGCTGTTATTGAGAAGAAGATTTTTAAAGATTTTTCCTATATATTTCTATGTAAAACTTTGATCTTCCATTGTGGCCCCGCCCTACCCCCAGGGGTCATGATTTGGACAAACTTGAATCTACACTACCTGAGGATGCTGCAATATAAATATGACCAATAAGGGCTTTGCTGTTATTGAGAAGAAGATTTTTAAAGGTTTTTCCTATACATTTCTATGTACATGTAAAACTTTGATCCTCCATTGTGGCCCCGCCCTACCCCCGGGGGTCATGATTTGAACAAACTTGAATCTACACTACCTGAGGATGCTTCCATATAAATATGACTCATCATGGCTTTGCTGTTATTGAGAAGAAGATTTTTAAAGATTTTTCCTATATATTTCTATGTAAAACTTTGATCCTCCATTGTGGCCCCGCCCTACCCCCGGGGGTCATGATTTGAACAAACTTGAATCTACACTACCTGAGAATGCTTTCATATAAATATGACTCATCATGGCTTTGTTGTTCTTGAGAAGAAGATTTTTAAAGGTTTTTCCTATATATTTCTATGTAAAACTTTGATCCTCCACTGTGGCCCCGTCCTACCCCCGGGGGTCATGATTTGAACAAACTTGAATCTACACTACCTGAGGATACTTCCACATAAATATATAATCAATCAGGGCTTTGCTGTTCCTGAGAAGAAGATTTTTAAAGATTTTTCCTATATATTTCTATGTAAAACTTTGATCCTCCATTGTGGCCCCGCCCTACCCCCGGGGGTCATGATTTGAACAAACTTGAATCTACACTACCTGAGGATGCTTTCATATAAATATGACCAATTAGGGCTTTGCTGTTATTGAGAAGAAGATTTTTAAAGATTTTTCCTATATATTTCTATGTAAAACTTTGATCTTCCATTGTGGCCCCGCCCTACCCCCAGGGGTCATGATTTGGACAAATTTGAATCTACACTACCTGAGGATGCTGCAATATAAATATGACCAATAAGGGCTTTGCTGTTATTGAGAAGAAGATTTTTAAAGGTTTTTCCTATATATTTCTATGTACATGTAAAACTTTGATCCTCCATTGTGGCCCCGCCCTACCCCCGGGGATCATGATTTGAACAAACTTGAATCTACACTACCTGAGGATGCTTCCATATAAATATGACTCATCATGGCTTTGCTGTTATTGAGAAGAAGATTTTTAAAGGTTTTTCCTATATATTTCTATGTAAAACTTTGATCCTCCATTGTGGCCCCGCCCTACCCCCGGGGATCATGATTTGAACAAACTTGAATCTACACTACCTGAGGATGCATCCATATAAAAATGACTCATCATGGCTTTGCTGTTCTTGAGAAGAAGATTTTTAAAGGTTTTTCCTATATATTTCTATGTAAAACTTTGATCCTCCACTGTGGCCCCGCCCTACCCCCGGGGGTCATGATTTGAACAAACTTGAATCTACACTACCTGAGGATGCTTCCACATAAGTTTCATCTTCCCTGGCTTTGAGGTTCTTGAGAAGAAGATTTTTAAAAGATGCTACTAATTTTTCACCAATTCTTCATTATCTCCCCTTGAATGAGGGTGTGGCCCTTCATTTGAACAAACTTGAATCCCCTTCACCCAAGGATACTTTGTGGCAAGTTTGGTTGAAATTGGCCCAGTGGTTCTTGAGAAGAAGTCGAAAATGTGAAAAGTTTACAGACGGACGGACGGACAGACAGACAGACAGACAGACGGACAGACGGACAGACGGACTACAGACAAAATGTGATCAGAAAAGCTCACTTGAGCCTTCGGCTCAGGTGAGCTAAAAACATAAGCAAAATGTTAACAAAGGAAACATATATACAAACATGACTGAAAACTTGACTAACATACGCAAATGACTGAAAACAAACTTGGAACCCATGACTACAAACCTCACCAAAACAAACAGACACATGTCTGAAAACAAACAAGCACATATGAATAAAAGCCTCTCTCACAAATAAACAGACAAACATGTTCGAAAATAAAAAGGCACACATGAATAAAAACCTCGCCAACAAACAAACAGACACACATCTGAAAACAAAAAAGCACACATGACTAAAAACCAACAAACAGACACACATCTGAAAACAATAAAGCACACATGACTAAAAAGCTCACCAACAAACAAAAAGACAAACATGTCTGAAAACAAAAAAGCACACCTGACTGAAAGCCTCACCAACAAACAAACAGACACATGTCTGAAAACAAAAAAGCACACCTGACTGAAAGCCTCACCAACAAACAAACAGACACATGTCTGAAAACAAAAAAACATACATGACTAAAATCCTCACCAACAAACAAACAGACAAACATGTCTGAAAACAAAAAAACACACCTGACTAAAAACCTCACCAACAAACAAACAGACACATTTCTGAAAACAAAAAAGCACACATGACTAAGACCTCACCAAAAAACAAACAGACACATATCTGAAAACAAAAAAGCACACATGACTAAGACCTCACCAAAAAACAAACAGACACATGTCTGAAAACAAAAAAGCACATATGATTAAAAGCCTCTCTTACACATAAACAGACAAACATGACTGGAAACCCTACCTACAAACAGGTGACTAAAAACCTTACCAAAAAAGATGCAATCATTCAACACTGAAAATCTAACTTTCAAACAAACTGGCAAACATGACTGAAAACTGAAACAACTGACAAACGGTCACAAATGATTGAAAATCTAACAAACAGATAAAAACTGACAGAAAACCTAAAAGACAAAAAAAGATCCACATGACTGAAAAACTTATCAAAAAACATCAGCACACAACTGAAATCCTGAATTACAATCAAACAGGCACATATGACTGAAAACCTAATAATCATTTTTACAAACCGAAAACCTAGCCAACAAACCAACAGATATACTTCAACAAAAGCAAAATCTCTTATCAGTTTAATTTTGTAGACTGAGATAATATTTTCCCTTAGAAAAAGATATCTGTAGAAAAAAAAGCATTTTGCAAGCGTAACTTGAAATTTTTGTTTAAAAAAAAATAAGAATTGTATGCATTCTAGAACTATTTCCTTTGAGTAATTGTAAAAAAAAAAATTACCTGATTAATCAATTATAACTGATGAAGACATCTCAAAACATATTTTCATGTCTTCACTTTCTTAGAGTCTGGATTGACCATAAAATTGCATGTTAGTAACTTGCAATTATTTGATTTCCCCTAAAAATAACTATACTGTACATGTGACAATGAGAGGTATTCGAAAATCAGCTGCAGGTCTGTTTTCTTCCTTTCTCACTCAGTGACTGTCTGAATCAATGGATGCCAGAATAGCCTCAGTAGTTTCCCACAGTTTTTTGCACAATCCTTCATCATAGGCTTCCTTGTTTATCCACCTTGTTCTGTCATACACCTGACTATCACTCAGGTATTCTCCCTTGGCATCCCGCATTTCCTCTGACACAGCAGCATACACAGTTGTTTGTGCACCATCTTTAGCTGTCTGCAAGTGTAGTGAGTAAAAACACATTATACTTTCCTACATACAAGCATTTAAAATTCAAATATTTTTATTCATGTTGAGCATTTAATGTAAATACATTTTCAAATATACACAGATAATAGATTGGACACAAGTTCTTCCAATTTACATATATAGATTATCCACCCCAACTCAAAAGAAACATAAACAAATGAAGACACTTAATATACAAACAAATACAACAATAAATCATAAGATTGGTACAAAAAAGGAAGGGTATGATGGGTTATGCCGTTTCATGTCAACTTTTTACAAGATCTTTTCTAAGACTGTCACTTCAAAGAACCATAACGAGGTGCATGAAATGAAAATTGTTGCATGAAAAGATTTCAATTTCAAGCTTCACTTTTTTTAATAAATTAAACAATAATTTTTCAGAGTTATTGTTCATGGCAAAAGAATGCATTTATGCACAGTTTTAAAAATATACTTTATTTATTTTGGTGGCCTAAGCTGTCACAAAACAGAATTATTTCGAAGTCCAATATTTTAAGTATATTTTCACAATTCTTTAAGTAATCTAACTTTTATTTTTGTCACTATCTCTGATGATTATATACATACCTTAAAAAATAGTCCTAGAAATGCTGTTAAAATACTGCTGCCCCATAAACATCTGAAAATGTCTGTGGCTGCAACTCCTGGATGAACACAGCAAGAAGCTACACCTGTACATTAAAAAACACAATGGCATCTCAATTAATACTTCAAACAACACATAAATACAGATTTATAGCTGTACATTGTAAAGAAAGATTTTTATGACTTCAAATAACTATATCCATGCATTAAAGCAATTCTCGGGCAGATAGCTTTCTGTAAAAAAAAATATAATGAACGTATATTTAATGAAAGGATTTTAAGGAAATTTGTGCCCAAAGACAAAAATAACAGTGATACAATATGGGTGCAAACCAGATAAGTATATAGATAAAGGGATTCTCTTCACCTATCCTTTGAGGTTAATGTTGAATATTTTGACTGTTTCAAATTGGTGACCTTTAAGAGAGACAGAGTGCTTAGTTTGGTTAAAAAGTTTAAGAGAGGCAGAGAGTTTAGTTTGTTAAGAAAAGTTGAAGTGAAGGAGATAGGCCTTTACTGAATTATAATCACCACACCTAATATCTATGTGTTCACTAAACATACCTGTTCCCTCCAATCTTCTAGCAAGCTCTTTCGTAAACAATATGTTCATCAGCTTTGAGTTCTTGTAAGCATCATAAGGATGAAAACCTTTCTTTGCTTGTATGTCATCACAATCAACGTGTGCCAGAATATTCATTACTGACGTCAGATTCACTATCCGGCTGGGAACAGACTTCTTCAGCAAATCTTAAACAAGAGTTCCATGGATTTTTATGCTCTATCATATCACCTGGAATTTCTTTAAACAATTTATAACTGCATAAGGAGGTGGACATTTTCAAGACATCAGTTTTGTTGCACAGACATTGGTAAAGCTGGAATTCAAAAGGAACCAAGATCTGATCCAAATTTATTGCTTAATTTAGTTAAAATATTTGCCTAATTGATGAATTTGTAAGAATACTGTTTCGGAGAAATCAACTCTACCCAATCTAATTACATGTAATTCAGTGTTACTTCGTTTAGAGCAAGAAACTATGTGTCACCTTAGATGTATCATACATGCAAGTTTGGTCACTATAGGGCTTATCGTCACTTGGAAATGATACTTGCTCCAAAAACTTCAAAGCTACATATGGCGTATCTGCAGAGCTAAAAATTAATAATACAAGACTGAGTGTAGATATACATGATATATGTTATTTACGTTCAAATTAAAAAATTTTACTGATTTTGAACTTGAATAACCTCACGTTTCTATAGTTAAATTGCCTTAAAATTGGTCTGTAATTTAAATGTGGAGTCACTAATTAAATCGGCTATTGTTTCAAATGTTTGATATCTTTGAAACATGATTGATTTTAATTGTGTAATTTACAGTAAAGTCCAATCTTTATTCAAAGTAATAAAACAAATAGAAATATCTTTTTAATTTTGGTTATCTGATATTTTATCAAAAATATGCCATATTTGGCTTTAACTGCTCCAAAAACTTTAACCTGCTCCAAAAACATTAACCTGGTCACATTTTAGTTGAAATAACAGCATTTGAAACCTTAATGCCATCAAGTTGATGGTACAATGAAACATTGGAAGCATCGGCCATACATCTCTAATTAGTAAAGAGCATAGACGTACTTGAAAAGAAATATGCTCCAAAGCTTTTAACCTGGGACACCAATTCCAATACTGATACCAAGGGTATTATGTAAGCCCCCCCCCCCCCCCAACTTCGTAGAGGTGAGCTAAAAATTACATTTGCAAAATCTAGTCTTACCTAGAAGAAGATTTGTGAGATGAAATGGTCCAACATAGTTTGTTGCATAAGTAAATTCTAAGCTCTCCTCTGTAATTACTGCAGGTAGACCTATAAATGCAAAAACACACACCATATTTATTGTAAGTGATAAAAAGAACCTATTTCAAATAAAACTCTGTACATTTCAGGATTTGGGGGGGGGGGGGGGGGACTAAATAGATATTGTCTTTGTTTATAAAGTAAAATATTCGTTACACTAAGTAAAATTTCTTAACCATGTTATACTATACCTGAAACTGCAGCATTGTTGATGAGAATATCTAATCTGGATTCCTGTTCATATGTCTCTCTAGCAAACTGCCTCACAGACCTCATAGAACTCAGATCTAAGTGTCTGACGACTACATCACCTCCAACATCTACTTCATCCAGAATTTTTTTCCTGGCTTCTTCTGCTTTTTGCAAGTTTCTACACGCCAGAATGACACGAGCTCCTCTCTTTGCTAAATCAAGAGCTGTCCAAAATCCTAATCCTAAAATCAAATCAATTTCATTTCTAATGCATTCTACAATTAAACATTTTATAGTCAAAATAATTTATTGATTGATTTGATATACATGTATGTTGTTTAATGTTCCATTCAAAAATTTTTCACTCATGTAGGGACCCTAACTGCTTGGGTCACAAGCAGCAACCTATCCATGGGCATGGGCACTGTGACCTATGCACGGGCACTTACAGCCATAGCAAGAGAGTTCTTTTATTTGATGGCAATGCCTATTGCCTTCCATAACATGAGACCTCCATTTTCAAGGTCTCATCCAAAAGACTCATGAATTTCAATTTCAATGCCAGGCACTTGGCAAAGAAACCTGGCAGTCACTATTCATGTTTTATGTCTTAGGTTTGATGAGGCACCAGGAATAAGAACAGAACCCTGGCAGACCTCCCAATCATAAAGCGAGTGGTTATATAACTGCCAGGCTAGCTACCACAACTCTTAATTACCAGTGTAGTAAACTACAGTAAAACACAGTTATAAAGAACTTGCTTATTAGGAAATCTCAATTACAAGCAATTTTTTACAAATCCCATAGAAGATTTTTTTTCACTAAATTTCTTGGATGTTTCCATATTAATATTACTAACGGTTTTGCTGTTCTTAGGAAGAAGATTTTTAAAGATTTTTTTCCAATTTATTCCTATGTTAAACTTTGATCCCCCCACTGTGACCCCATCCTACCCTGGGGGTCTTGATTTGAACAAATTTGAATCTACACTACCTGAGAATGCTTCCATATTTTGACTATAAACAAGGCTTTGCTGATCTTGAGAAGAAGATTTTTGAAGATAATTTTTCCCTCTATATATTCCTACATAAAACTTGATCCCCATTGTGGCACCACCCTACTCCCTATGATCATGATTTGAATAAAATTGAATCCACACTACCTGAGGATGCTTCCATATCAATATGACTAAACATGGCTTTGCTGTTCTTGAGAAGAAGATTTTTGAAGATTTTTTCCTATATATTCCTCTGTAAAACTTTGATACCCCATTATGGCGCCACCCTACCCCCGGAGTCATGATTAGAACAAATTAGGTTTCATATAAGTTTCAACATTTTTGGCCCAGTGGTTCTTGAGACGAAGATTTTTATAAGATACCTGACAAAATTTTTGGCCAAGTGGTTCTTGAGATGAAGTCGACAATTTGAAAGATTTTCAGATGGATGGACGACGGACAAAATGTGATCAGAAAAGCTCAATTGAGCTTTCAGCTCAGGTTAGCTAAAAAATGAAATATTTTTAAAATGCAGTGAATATTGAACAACTATAATAAATATAATTAGTCCAACCTACCAGTATTTGCCCCCGTGATGATGGCAGTCTTTCCATGAAGTTTGACATTGGATATAAAAGCTCTTTTGATGGACACTTGGTAAAGCTTCACTACTGCAAGGAATACCACAGTAAATAGACAAAAGCCAATAATGTAGACTTCCATTTCAGACGATGCTTTATCAGTTGTTTATCATTATGCAAAATGCTTTATTTGTTTCTCTTTGTATTAATGCACTTTTTCTGCTATTATCATTTCAATTTAAAATATATTTTTGTCGTAGAACAATTTCAAACTTTGTCCAATGTCCGTCAAATTATCATCTTATCAAGCCAGGCATTCAGGCTTTTCTGAGTAGACGAACCTCTTATCAAATCGGATATAATGATCAACAACATATTACGAAGGCTTCTTCCGTCCGATTCGTTCATTTCCGAAATAATGTATCTATAGAACGATGAGCCAAAGTGGTTATATTATTATTTTTAACTTAAAAGTACAGGGTGTTGAAATGTGTCGTGTATATATGGTTCACTTTATCAAGTTATCTTACGAGCTAATTTAATGGAATTATAATCTCAATGCATAATATTATTTGCGTATGTGCTTGTAGACAGGACTTTGATAGACACATAAGCGAGAAGGTGAAAAAGGCAAACTCTATTTTTGCAATGTTAAGGCGAACTTTTCAACATTTGGACGAAGAAACTTTCATTCCTCTTTATAAGATACTTGTCAGGACACATTTAGACTATGCGAGTTCGGTCTGGTTCCCTTTCAAATCAAGACACATAGAGATGATTGAAGGAGTGCAGAGAAGAGCTACCAAGCAGATTCCTGGATTGGCAAAATTAAGCTATGAAGAAAGGTTGAAGAAACTAAAACTACCAACGCTGAAGTACAGGCGCCACCGAGGAGATATGATTGAAGTGTACAAAATAACAAGTGGAAAGTATGACCCATTAGCAGCAGACTTTATCAAGTTAAGGAGAGACCACGTTACTAGGGAACAAGGAAGAGGGAATTCCAAGAAGCTGTTTGTACAGAGACCGAGACTCAATATAAGAAAATTCAGCTTCAGTGTTAGAACTGTCAGTCTATGGAATAGCTTACCAGAGGATGTTGTAAGTGCTAAAACTCTGAATACTTTCAAGAATAGACTAGACAACTTCTGGAAGGACCAGGATGTGCTCTATAATTACAAAGTAGATTTTAAAACCGATTACACCGGTAGTCACCCAAGTAGTCACCCAAGTAGTCACAAAGCAAGTTTGGAGTCCGACGAAGAGGACCTTGACAGGACCTGTGTTGGAAAAATACCATAAGTAAGTAAGTAAGTAAGTAAAGGACCCTGCTTTTACGATGCACCCCCCCCCCCCCCCTTGATTTAAAAAAAATTATTTTCTTATATATAATTTTCTTTATTTTTAATATCTTACTACCTCATCTACATGTCCCTGATCAAAAATTCCTTTGAAATTCCCACACATATGCCATCAATATGAGTGAGACCACTAAAAAAATCAGCTGATCACCCAAAAATAAGAAGGAACAAAGAAAAAATAATAATAATAATAAAAACACAGAAAGAGTGAATAATTAATTAATTACAAATCAGGTCTAAGCTAGTCTAGGTACTATTGATAACTTTCGTACATTTGTAAGTAGTCAATCTATATGAAACTGTTTGACAAATAACAAGTCAAGTTAGCTAAACAATTTGACTCGTTATTTTTCAACATAAACAGAATTCATACCAAAAATCATCTAATTATCCAAAAGTGCAGCCAGAAAGTTCAGAGATTTACTGTATATTGAAGGGAATTTGGACGGAAAGGGGTAACTCTATAAATGCTCCGACCATTTCCGGAGGGTGGGGGATAAAAAGGGAGGAAAAGTTTGCTATTAACAACTTTTAGGAGAAGTCTCCCAAAATAAGAAATGACAAGAGACCCATGGGCCACAACGCTCAACTGAGTAACTATGGCCCTGCTGTTCTTCACCTGATTTCCTACATTGTTATACCTTTTGTGGCCCTAACACCCCCCCCCCCGTGATTATATGAACAATTTAGAATCTACACTACCCCCAGAATGCTTCAACATAAGTTTCAGCTTTTCTGGCCCAGTGGTTCTTGAGAAGAAGATTTTTAAAGATTTTTACTACATATTTCAATGTAAAACTTGGATTCCCTATTGTGGCCCCGTCTTACCCCCCGGGGGTCATGATATGAACAATTTAGAATCTACACTAACCAAGGATGCTTCGACATAAGTTTCAGCTTTTCTGGCCCAGTGGTTCTTGAGAAGAAGATTTTTTCCTTTATATTTGTAAAACTTGAGAAGAAGATTTTTACTACATATTTCAATGTAAAACTTGGATTCCCTATTGTGACCCCGTCTTACCCACGGGGGTCATGATATGAACAATTTAGAATCTACACTACCCCAGGATGCTTCCACATACGTTTCAGCTTTTCTGGCCTAGTGGTTCTTGAGAAGAAGATTTTTAAAGATATTTTCTACATATTTCAACGTAAAACTTGGATTCCCTATTGTGGCCCCGCCCTACCCCCGGGGGTCATGATTTGAACAATTTAGAATCTACACTACAACAGGATGCTTCCACGTAAGTTTCAGCTTTTCTGACCCAGTGGTTCTAGAGAAGAAGATTTTTAAAGATTTTTACTACATATTTCAATGTAAAACTTGGATTCCCTATTGTGACCCCGTCTTACCCCCGGGGGTCATGATTTATACAATGTAGAATTTACAATACCCCAGGATACTTCCACATAAGTTTCAGCTTTTCTGGCCCAGTGGTTCTTGAGAAAAAGATTTTTAAAGATATCTTCTACATATTTCAATGTAAAACTTGGATTCCCTATTGTGGCCCCGCCCTACCCCCGGGGGTCATGATTTGAACAATTTAGAATCTACACTACACCAGGATGCTTCAACATAAGTTTCAGCTTTTCTAGCCTAGTGGTTCTAGAGAAGAAGATTTTCAATGTAAAACTTGGATTCCCTATTGTGGCCCCGCCCTACCCCCAGGGGTCATGATTTGAACAATTTAGAATCTACACTACAACAGGATGCTTCCACGTAAGTTTCAGCTTTTCTGACCCAGTGGTTCTAGAGAAGAAGATTTTTAAAGATTTTTCCTATATATTTCAATGTAAAACTTGGATTCCCTATTGTGGCCCCGCCCTACCCCCGGGGGTCATGATTTATACAATGTAGAATTTACAATATCCCAGGATACTTCCACATAAGTTTCAGCTTTTCTGGCCCAGTGGTTCTTGAGAAAAAGATTTTTAAAGATATCTTCTACATATTTCAATGTAAAACTTGGATTCCCTATTGTGGCCCCGCCCTACCCCCGGGGGTCATGATTTGAACAATTTAGAATCTACACTACACCAGGATGCTTCAACATAAGTTTCAGCTTTTCTAGCCTAGTGGTTCTAGAGAAGAAGATTTTCAATGTAAAACTTGGATTCCCTATTGTGACCCCGTCTTACCCACGGGGGTCATGATTTGAACAATTTAGAATCTACACTACCCCAGGATGCTTCGACATAAGTTTCAGCTTTTCTGGCCCAGTGGTACTTGAGAAGAAGATTTTTTAATGACCCCACCCGATTTTTGTCTTTTCTTGATTATCTCCCCTTTGAAGGGGGCCTGGCCCTTCATTTTAAGAATTTAAACTCCCCTTTACCCAAGGATGTTTTGTACCAAGTTTGGTTAAAATTGGCCCAGTGGTTCTTGAGAAGAAGTTGAAAATGTGAAAAGTTTACAGACGGACGGACGACGGACAAGGGGTGATCAGAAAAGCTCACTTGAGCTTTCAGCTCAGGTAAGTTAAAAAGGCGAAAAAGAAAAAATTGTCGGAAATGGGCCTCTATATGTTTCATGTTTCCAGACATTGGAAAATCAAGGGTTGAAGGATATCTGGAAATAGTCCATGAGAAATCAAACATTAATCTATGAACAATATATGACAAATATAAGTAATCCGGAACAAAATTGATATTCCTGTAAATCAAGCAACCAGTATGTTCAATGTATTTTTAGAACCTTGAAGAATTGCTTATTTAATAATTGGTAGCTTTGTCTTTATAGTATAATGAAAAAGGTGAGTCAAATAATGTTGTTCCTCATTTTATTTATACTAAATAAAATTAACACCATTTAGCATTAACAGTATCTTCCATTTGAGACTCTTTAGTTCTGAAAAATTGACCTTTTTCATATTTTTAATGACATAGTAATCAAATCACAAGTACAAGAGTGATGACCTTAAAGTTTCTTCTACAGTCTTTTTTCATGATCTTTAATAACACTTATTTTATACTCATTTATATGAGAATCAGTAATTAAAGCTACTGTTTTACTTAGATTGTCATGAAATTCTTATATCTAATTGCATATTTTGATACCATTAAAATAAAAAGGTTATTCATTTTTGCTTTTGTGTCACTTTTTTTTTCTATTCAACACACGCTAGAGCGGTTACACACACTACATGCAACAGTATTTACGGTCAAAGCAGGAGTGCCACAAGGTTCCGTCCTGGGACCACTTTTTTCATCAATGACCAGTTCGTATTTAGAAAATTGAAGTATTGATCTTTTTTCCAACTGACAATTAATGCAACCCCATATTATCAACACAGTTTTATATCATTTTATCTATTATACAATATTTCCAATTCTCTCAGAACATTTAAATTTCGCCCAAATCTACTGTTAGCTAGCCAAAAATATCCACATGATTGTTGCACCTGCAGTTTCTCCGATACATGTTACATGTAGGATATAAAAAATTGTCTTAAAATGTCAAACTGTCATCATATTATAATATCAAAGTATCAGCATGTCAAATTATAAGTATTAATTTCAAGGTATCAGCATATAAAGACAATTTATCTTTATATATACAAATGTGATGAATAAGAATCAGCATATGATCAAGTTGTCCGATCCTCAGGTTATGAACATCAGTAGACTAGTTAAGAACTCAAAAAGTAATGTGAATATACCCATGTTTTTTCTGCAATGACAGGTCCGTATTGGGGGGGGGGGGGTTATACATGTAATTATATAGGGAAAATTAATTTATTTTACTCAAATATATTTTCAGAAAACGTAAATAAAAGCATCAATTAAACGTTTTCTAATTGAAAATTTATCATGAAGTATATATTAGGATAAAAAATTTATAGGTATCCAGGCATTTGGAAAAATACACGTTTTTTAATATAATTTATATGAATACTTATATGATATTTCATTTCTTCTATCAACTTCAA